GAAAATGTTGTGAAATTGACACTGACAGTTGCACGCTGGAATGATGCATCGAGCACCGAATGAATTTAATTGCGCGATAGTCTCTGCCAATCTCGAGATTTATTATTTCCTAACATATGTGTGAATTTTATCGCAAATCGCATGTAACTAAAAAAAAAAAATAAAATAATCAATCGTTTTCGCCATAATTCATTTTTTATGATAATCAAAAAACGTAGAGCAAATTACGTAATTAAATTACTTGATAAAATACTGAGCTGAGGTACAAACCGCGTCGCAAATATCAGGAAAGAAAGAATAACTTTTTCTAATCTCTTTCACCCGCGGAAATTGAAAAATGTCCTGCGCGTTGTTTGTTTTACCTTGCTCTCTTTTTCTCTTGGCGTTCGTTTTCCCTTTTTTTTTTTTTTTTTCATTAGCGCGTCCGGTTTGTCAAGATTTTTTGAACACGGTGTCAGAAAATGCCGATAAAACGCGAGAGGTGCGAGAGAAATTTCATTATCATGAGATATCTCTTGCACGGAGAGAGCGGATTTATCAAACGTCATATATTTCCCGATCCGCTTCTCCTCTAACGACGACGGAAGCCCATGTCTTTCAAACATCGCTATCAGATGTCTCGCAGAGAGAGAAATGGAGAGAGGGAGATTGAGAGAGAACGAGAAAGAAAGAAAGACACGATCTCAAACATTCGATTTTATTCCCGATATGTTCGTTAATCAAAACGTATTTCTACTTAATCAGCGTATCCGGTGGAATATAGTGAAAAATTAACAACAATCGACGCGATACGAAAAATAGCAAGCGAGAGAAAGCAGCTTAGCGACTTCGTTTACGTAACAACGCTTTTTATTCCCGTCCTTCTGGATGCTGCCTCTTATCCGACTTGCTGCTCTTATCATTTAGTTAAAATTCACATGGAATTTAAGAGCTAATTTACGATGTAATCTCCCCGCTCCCCTCTTTCCCTTTTGTAACGCGGCAAAGAGTCTAAAAACTTCAGTCTTAATATTCTGCAGCTAAAAGCCAGCGTGTGACTATATATACGTATGTATATATTTATGGTCAAAGCTTTTAACCAATTTTTTTTCTCGTTATGTAACTCTTATATAACATACTACAAAACTTAAACTAAATATCTCCGAATCCAAATTTCTCACGTTTTTTTTAACACAAAGTAACGCGAGAATGTTTGAAAAAAAACAACAAATTACAATCATTTCACAGCAACATGAATTACAATTTACATACACAACACAAGCGCGCGCTACGCGCACGCTATTATTATTTTCATTTTTATGTGTTGCATCAGTGAACACAACCTGTCACCGCGATGACAGCTAATATATACATCTTATAAACTTTGTAATACACCTACGAGAGATGTCAAAAGTAACACATAAAAATCAAACTCAAAAAATAAAAGAAAGAGAGAAGAATGGAAAGACAACACGTGACTAAAGTCGTGTGACAAAGAAAAGAGTGAAAAAGAAAATATTATACATATACATATATTATATATAATATTCTATATCTATATATAATACACATACATACACACACATATACACATATATATATATATATACCGTAATCACGCGACCGAGGTAAGTGCCCCGCCAAGGCTGCGCGCCCGAGGTCATTGACCCCGCCGCGGTCGCGTGCCCGCGGTCAGTGACTCCTCCCCCACCAAGGCCGCGCGGCCGAGGTCAGTGACCCCGTCAAGGCCGCGCGGTCGAGGTCAGTGACCCCGCCAAGGCCGCGCGGCCGAGGTCAGTGACCCCGCCAAGGCCGCGCGGCCGAGGTCAGTGACATTACTGTGGTATGTATATAATACAATATAAAATATAATATTATATAAATATATAATAAATTATATGTATAATATGTATTATTTAATGTTATATATAATATAAATTACACAGTCACGTTATTTTCACGTGTTGTTTTTCTACTCTTTCCTGTCAGGTGACTTTAGTTACGTTTTTAATTTTCTCTACATATACAACGAACTGTCTCAAAATCGCTTTTCATTATTTACTCTCTCGATCTTACCGATTCGATTCGACTCGATCAACCAACCAACCAATCGGCAACGCGGAAAAGAGGCAACAATAGATGCGATACATTCGGCTCCAAAACGCGCACTTTGCGGAACACATGGATTTTTTTATGTAGAAAGAGGAAGAGGAGTAATATTTGTCTAAATGGTGCAAAATTCGTTTTAAGTAATCGTTAAGATCAATTAACGCTCCTTCTAATGAGAAAAAAGAAAACGATCGCATTGCGAGAGGAAAAAAAAGAAAGAAAAAAAGAAAGAAAGAAAGAAAGAAAGAAACAGATTTGGTCATCGCGAAAAGCTTCCAGTTATTCTATTCTCGTACTCCTAGAAGTGGAATTGACGTTCCAGAAGAGCACGTCCTGAACGACCAACCCTGTACTCGTATCTGCGCTCCACTCTACGACGAGAATTGCCGGCCAGGCTTAGGACGAGTGGGTGTCGATGTAACTGTCGGCCGCGCAAGACAAAGTGGTATGTAAGGAGGTAGGTATGTAGGTAGGAAGGTAGGTAGATGTGGGAGACGGCGAACGCGAGGAAGGACGATCGTGTGCGAAAGAGAACATGAGAAGCGCGTTGTGTGACGAAAATGGTGGAGAGAAGCAGCAGCTATCACTTTCTTCGTCGTGTTTCGCGGGGGATTTAAGATAAAGAGGGTCCAGAATCAACGGCGGCGAGTGTAGGTTACGCGGATCATCCGCCCTCGACAGCGCTTTTTTCCGATCCACTTTTATCCACGTACGTGGAAAACCGCGGGACGACAGGGGAGAGGGGAGGAGAAAAGCGCCGGGAAGAGAAGAGCGACGAGAGGATAAGTGGGCGAGAAACGAGAAGAAGCAAAAAAGAAGACGGGGTATATGAGAAACGTGTAATTTAACCCCTTCTCGCACTCACGGGCGAGTTATCGCGAGTAACCCGCGCGCGCAAGCTCGCTGCTTTAAATTTATGAACTTGTATAAATCTCGGGTTTCGTATTAGTAAATATACCGCGAGATAATGCAGAATATTATTTTTTTTTTTTTCGTACAAAAAGAAAAAGATACTCTTTAAAGGAATTTGTCTTTCTTCTCGCATGTGCGAAAACTCACACACGGGAGAAAGAGTTTTTAATAATATAATTTAATAATAAAATTCAAATAACAAATTAAAAAAGAAGAACAACTCGTGGAAAACTAATAACAACACGGTTAGAGTTGCGGTAAATTTTTCTTAATTGATCTCACAGATTGTGTGCGAACGGTTTCGTTCCGAGATCTCGACGATAGACGAAGTTCGCTCTAAAGACCGTTATTTACGATTTGCACTATTTCTCGTCGACGATAGCAGTTGAACACTTTTCTTTCTCTCTCTCTTCTCATGAAATAAAACTTCGCGCCCGCGCGCGATACTTTCTTAATTAATATAACAAACGCGCTGAGATGGACCGAAACCATAGGTCGAAACTGGTGTTTACGCAATTTACGAGATCAATTGAGAGGAATTCAACACAACGTTCACCACGTTACCGCTCAACTTCCTCGTCAATTTCTTATTTGAAACTACTTCAGCCGTATTTTGTACACGTCGATTTAATAGTTAAAAAAATTCCGAGAGAAGTGTGCAAACAAAAACGTGAAGGAAATAAAATTGAATATATATCGCCGTTCGATATTTAGAATTTGAGAACTTCAATTCGTTAATCGCTGACAATGAATCGTAAAAGGCGGGATTCGCGTAAATTTAAGCCGTATAAAAAAACAAAGAGAGAGAGTTGCGTGACAGTTAATAGCTTTCACTTTTAATTAGCGGCAAACGTACGTAACGCCTTCATTCTGTGGCAGACGGGGGAACGGATAAAAGACAGTGAATCTCTCGCTGCGAGAGGATAAAGATCCAGTAACTCGTTAATTGGTTTTCTGACCAATTCGTACTTATTAAAGCTCGCGCATTGCTTCCGCACGGATTGTAACTGTCTGTCTGTCTCTCTCTCTCTCTTTCTCTCGCTTTTTTATTTTATTTTATTTTTTTTTTTTTTTTAATATCGAAAAATCTGCATTTATATATCTTCACTAAATTCATATGTAGCGCACAAAGTAAACGCGTACGTACCTATTAATTCGTTTGTTTTAAATAAATCAGCGGATATTCTATTTTTGTTATGATAGTTTTTTTTTTTTTTTTTTTTTTTACACAAGGGGAAGATTTTTCTTCGACACACAAAGCAAAAAGTGTTTGTTCCGCTTGTAATGTATTCGAGGATTGGAAGATTTTATTAAGATGAAACAAATTGCCGTGCAAAAAGTCTTAAGCGAGGTGCACGCATTTAATAGAAATCCCAAGCGCAAAGTTCGCGAGAGGAGGAATAGTTCTCTCAAACTCTCCTCTCTTCTCTCGCTTAAATTCCTCCAATTAAACCGTGATGATTGTCCGTGTATACGGCATATAATCTCCTTTTATTACTTTTCCCGCTACAACTCTCGCTGACAACAGTCGCCTTTTGCCGCGCGCTCCTTTATTCCCCGAGTTTTCTTCAAGACAGCAGAAAACTCGAAACGCTTTAACGCTCGCGCGTCTCACTTTTTACTACTCTCCTCGCGCTCATCCGTCTAACGAGTGATTCTTAAAAATTCTTCCGTACTACACGCGCGCGCACAAGGTAGCCCCGAGATTCTTCCTCTCATCGGACGAGACCCATACTCTCAGCAACACTCGAGGAATGCAACCTTCTCGACGTCATCCTTGTTTCCTCCGCGAGGAAATCCCGTTAGCTTCTCGCGAGACTTGCATCGACTGAAGGAGGATGAAACAAAACAAAAAAAAAACCAAGAGGAAGATTTATAATATACCTGGAAGATATATCAGTCGCGGAGAAAGGGGAAGTGCGGGAGGGGAGAAGAGGGATTTCTGCCTCCGGGGCAGATTGCGTACTTTCGGCTCTAATCGCGACTGGTATAGCGGGAATCCTCGTCGCAAAAGCTGGTCAGTTGACTGTTTAACGTTACGAGAGGAAAATCTCTATATTCCCAACGAAATATATATTCGGCAGTCTCTTCGAACTGTTTTTTTGTTTGTTTTTTGTTTTGTTTTTTTTGTTTTTTTTTAACGTAACGCAATTCAACGTATCCGATTACAGCCCCCGTCCCACAGAGTTTTTAAGTTCTACACACTCGTTACGCAAACTGTGCGCGATCTGATCGCGCGCGAGCGCGCTGTATTTTTCTCGCAGCGTATACGAGCGCGGAAGCGCGCGCTCGTTATCGACAAACTTTGGATATCATGACGCAAAAAGACGTGCTCTCCGCGCTCGGAAATTCCACTGGACGTTGGAGCTTTGATGTAAAACACACGTAGAGGTATTTTTCTATATTTTTTTTCTCTTTAATCCCGCAATTGCCGGATTAATCGCTGCGCCAATCCCTGCTCTCTCTCTTCCTCTTTCTCTCTATCCATTAAATTCCACGTGCGCATTTCCATAATGTCAATATTTGATTATTATTGTGACAGAGATATTTTTTTCCGAGAGTTTTACGTATTCAAAAATTGTGAAAAATTACTAGCAGCGTGTGTGTGTGTGTGATTTTGCGTTTCACGTGAACTTCGCGATGTGTTCACGATTGAAAGAACGCATTCCCGCTTTTTGCATAGAAAATATAAAATCTCTCGAGTTTACCTTTCTTTGCTCGCGGATATAAAAATGAGAAGTATATATTTCGGAATAAACTCGCTGACTCCGGGACGTTTTTCGCGATATGAGGTGTACCGATCTTTCCGGCACTGACAAGATTGAATCGATTTATGCGCGCACGTCCGAAAGTATGATCGTTCGTATCCATTTCTGTCCTCTTCAGAAATACGAGAGACGCAAATCGATGTCGCCCACGATTTCGATACTTTCCGCTCTGCTGCTCACGTTGATGTTGGGATCAGCGGAGTGCGGACAGAAGACGGATCCTGTCGCGTTGTTGCGACGAACTCTCCGATATTGGTGGAAAATATACAAGACGTACGAGGAGGAGGTGGCACTGGGTTACTGTTGGGCGGACTATTTGCTCGGGATAAGCGACCGATTGTCAGGGAATCTATCCGCGTCGTCGCTCGCCACGACGTTGGGAGACTGTTTCAACACGTCCAACGTCGTCGGGGTGACGAAAAGCCAGCAAAATCCATTTCCGCTGAACGTAATGGTCGATGCGACGACGACGACGACGACGACGACGACGGCGGCGGCGCTCGGAGAAACACGGAAGAAGCGACACTCGCAAGAGAAACGATCTCGTGCGGCAGCAACGCGAGCTGTTGCTGTCCCGGAAGAATTCAAACGCGATCTTGACGAGCAACGGATCAGATTGAAAATAATTCGGAAGCAGAAGAGCGGAGAGATGGAGATAATGAGCAGAGCCGGGCGCGTTCTACGAAGTGTCTCAAAGAAAGAAGCGAAAGAAGACAAAGTTAATGAAGGGAAGAAGATTATATCCGAGTCTTGGGCTGAGAAAAGGTGAGAATAAATATTTTTCCGTAAATAAGATTGTTTTTTTTTTCTTTTTTTTTTGTAATTAAATAAAGTTTGCGATTGAAGAGAATGTTTTTTCTTATCTCAACGTGTAGCTAACACGTAATAACTTAATCTCTCACGTAAGTGAATATATTTATTCTAAAAACAAACTTTATCGTTCATACTATTTTAAAAACTCAATATTTACAATTCGGCTCTTCGCAGTTGCGCGAAATGACACGCGTGCAAACATTAATTACAGACAACAAACACCGGCGACGAGATCGAAATTTTTTCACCGTAAGGAAGAAGACTCCGCGAACGAAATACGCGAATTTTCATCTCGGCGTGGAACGAGCTTGCGCGCCATTAATTCGACGCCTAGTCCCGGGGATAACGACGAAGTCGGTTTCGGATCAACGCACCGCGAGAAGAAGGACACGCGTCGTAAATTTTTACGTTCTCCGACGAGCGATCGTGATTCTTTCATCGAGAGCGCTTTCGAGCGTTCATTTTCTCTCGAGATCGTTCGCAAAGAACGCGGGAGATCGCTCGACGATCATCGGTTTCCCTTTCGATGGTTCTTGTCGCCGCGAAGAGAAAACCCGAAGATAGTCGACGGGTCGTTATTTGATCTCCGGACCTCGAGCAGTCGCGGAATGACGAGAGATCTTGCACGACGACGAGTTCTCTCGAACAAGAACGGAAGTCGCTCAGCGCGGCGGCGTTTACTCTTCCGGCTGGTAAGCGCGAACACGGAACGTCGCACGGTCGTAAAACCGATGAATTCTAAAGAAAATTCATCCTGCGATCCGGTGAAACTGATAAATTCGAGAACATCTCGGCGAGAGCGTGGAAAATTATCTCGCGATTCGCTCCGTGAAAAAGAAAGAAGATTCGTAGGCGCTGAGCGATCTATTCTCGAATCTCGAGCAAGCGGAAGAAAAGCCGTTGAAAGGATCGCGCTCTTCAAAACAACCGGAGGAAGCGATACGAAAAAACAACGTTATCCCCGATCGAAGAAGGAAGAGGAAGGATCACGGTCCGGAAAGGACGTTTCACCGGGAACGATACATCCGTTTCTTTCGTCGCGACTCGAACGAGATTTGCGCCAACAAATGCCGCACGAAAATCGAGGATCCTCTTTCGCCGTCCCGACGATTTTCGAGGATTCGAAACAGAACGGCACTACCGTACGTCGAGAAGACGCGGCTTTATCATCTCGCTATGAACGGTTCGTGGACAACGGCGGTTACGAGAACTCGATAAGTCAGACGGCTCGTAATTTGAGACCAACCGCTCTGAAAGTTTCGCAAGATCGAAATGAACTGTCAATAGTTCAGCAACCTTCGCTTTTGTCGAGCATATACTCGACCATCGCCCCGGTTTTCAAAACACTCGGAATGTTCGTTCAAGTCGGAAGGCAGATCATTGATGTCGTTGAATCGAACACGGCGCTCGCTTGCACGAGAGAGTATTTGTGGACTAAACTCATTAGATGGATATTATGATGATAATGTTAAAAAAAAAAAAAAAAACTTATTGTTCTTTACACAAATTGTCAAATATTCGAGCTATCCGAATACGGAGTGTGGTCGACAAAATAAATTATTCTACGATTCGTTTTTTCCTCTTTGGAAAGAGAAAAACATTTTTATGCGAAATATCTAACAAATACCTATAGAATTTTACTGCTTTGTCGTATTAATGCTATATAAAAATTTCTAAGCTTGCGAGCGAGAGAAATCTCTTTTCAAAATCTCACCGATTCGTATATTTTTCATCGAAGCATTTTTATGTATCTATTATTAGCTACATTTTTTATCATGTATTAAATCGAGAACGCGAGACGGCGAGATATGTAAGAAATATTTTATTCTCTTTTATATATATATATATGTACATATATATATATATATATATGTGCAGTTATAAATAAACTCTTTTCTTATCGGAAAAATTTTTCTTACGAGAAAGAAACGCGAGTTTTCATACATTTATAATTTAACGTACGCTATCCTCGATCTTTTATCCACCCCTACAAACTCTTTCGCGTTGGTATTTTATCGATATTAAAGAGGAGAGATTATGGTCCTGAGAGCACATCATCGGGAGGGAAAAGATATTCTATCTCGAGAAATTCCTCGCTTCTCACAAGATGACATATTTATCAGTTGCTCGAACAGTGGTAAGCGATTTGCGGCACAGCCCGTATTATCCTAATGACGCACTTGCGGCGGTTGTCAAACGCTAATTACGCCCCGAAATCATAATTAAGACGGTGGAATGATATCCTCCGGAAACGGATGTCCCCTGTTGATGAGGACCCATCGCGAATGAATTTTTGATGCCACCTGTTGCTACTGTTGTCTTTCTCCGCTCAAAGTCCTTCTTGTCTCCTGGCGATCGACTTGTCGCGCGCGGCTATAGTCAAACGATTATCGTGACGTTTAATCGCGTTATAATAACGACGGCAATTATCTGAAAGATCGTATCGCGTTCTCTCGTGACGAAAACAAACCCTTGATAAAAAAAAAAAAGAAAAAAACGTATTTTTTCAAGAAGACGTTAAATTTTCTTATAAAAAAACCACGCATTTAAAAATAACAATGCTCGCATAAAATTTATTTAGATCTTCCGTGCGAGAAATAGTTCTTCTAAAAAAAGAATTAAAAAAAAAAAAAAAAAAAAAAGACCGTGAATAAAAGCGAAGAAACACTGTGGGCGACCGCAAAGAAACGCGTGTGTGAAGAGCGTTGGATATATAAAAGACCTGAAACGCGCGCGACGACGCGTTGAAAAATAGACGCGGTCAATTATGTAGTCGACTAAAATGTACAAGCGATATATGTTCCTTCAAGCGCTGTTTGCGTATAATAAATGTTTGCGGATCCGCGGGAAGATCGGTAAACATCGCACTTGATCGAGTACAAACCAAGAGTTGTTTCCGCGCAAACGAAGAATTTGTAAGCTCGTCTGCGAACGTACTTACATAGAGGCGACACGACGGTCAGGTCATTCATGGAGGAATTTATTATTAAGGAGCCTCTTAAGCCTCCTCACAAAGACTCGTCTCCGGAGTTACAAGGAAGGCACAAGAAGAGGAATCTAGAGAGAGAGAGAGAGAGAGAGAGAACCAACTTCCGAGGCGCCGACGGAAGACTATTTTTGTTCGCTTTCAGCGTGCTTATCCAGCATCTCGCGCAATTCTGCGTCGTTCTATTCATAACGAGAGTGCCCTATCAACGTGAATTCCTGAAGGAAGCCCAATAGAAACCGGGACCGAGTGAGCGCTCTCATAAATATTTAATTCTTAATCACGCCGGATGGCGCGCCGCACGCGCCACTCTCTGCACGGATCTCTTCTCGCATAGGTGGATAAAGGCCGGGGAGTGAGAGGGAGGAAAGAGGAGGGCGATGAAAGCTCCTTTTGCTTTTCACATCTCATCTCTCGGTAGCAATTAATCCGACGCCTGTGATACGCTCTCACTTCGGCGCGCGAGTCCGGCTTCCGTAGTTTCGCGCAAAATTTTTTTTTTTTTTTATATTATATTACACACACGCGCGCGCACGCAATATATCGCGCACGCAGCGAATATTCTGTACAAGGCCTTCATTAGATGTTCATTAGACGGCACACGGAGTTACGAACGTCTAATGAACGCGCGTTACGTCTGTTGTAGATACTATTATACTTTTCTAATAATTAAAAAAAAGACAAAACCTGAGATAAAAAAAAAGATGTAAGGAGACAAAAAAAAAGTGGCAAAAAACAAATTTATAAATTCACGTGTATGCAAGCGCGATTAGATGAACACGTGAGACTCAATCAGAACGTCGAAATCGCTCTTTTGGCAGTGTTTTTATCAAGAATACTTCGACGCACAATAATCCTTGAAATTTAGCTTACGCGTAACGTACGTACGCAATATCTATGCATGTGATGCGGTTGTAGCTACTGCATTAATCTAGCTTCGACGTTGTGAATCTACCAACATGTTAAGAGATTACAGCGGTGTTCCTAATATCGACCATCCTGGCAGTCTCCGTAATATCTGGGCGATGTTAGGGATTACGCGGTCTTACATTCTTTTAAATATCATATTCCAATAACGGACACTTGAAGCTTTACAAGTAATTACTTGAAGTTTCATATTATAATTAAATATCGTGAAAATGGTTTGTGTCTCTAACCACCCACACGGAAAATCTTAGGGATATTTGATATCTTTACCTTGTGCTTAATATGCTTATTATGCCAAGAACGAGAAGGGTGATAAGGGGATGCAGAATCTCAACGGCGGTTAGGTCCGTAGACATCATCTTCAAACCTGCGCGACATCCTCGAATACGATTTTCTCCGTAAGGAAGAAGACACCGTCTGTTGCAGGCAAATAGAGGATGAGGCAGCGAGGAAGGAGATATAATTCGATCCGATCTCGCGCGACGCGAGCGGGTATCCTTATATACCATATAACTAACTCCGTGACGATTTAATCCTATATCGGATCTTCCCCTGTATTGGCGAACATATTCCAGTATATAGTCGCTGCTAAACCAAGCTCGAGGATAACTTGGCGCTGTGCAGAATTTATAGGTATAAACGTATGTGTTCTTCAAAGAACGCGCGCTCGCGGAAACAATAAATCTTGTACACATCAGATGAGAGAACTTTTATCTAAAAAAAAAAAAAAAAAAGTAATAAAAATGTCTGTAATATTCTTAATCTAAATCTAACGATCGAAATATTCTCTTTCCTCTCTGTATTCTCGATTTTTAATACGTCTTTGCAAAATGAACGTTAAATTTATGTTTAAATAACGTTTATCTATATAATATATAGCAATTACATGTGTAATAGAATCATAAACTTTTGCTCAAAATTTATTTTGAACAAGACTTTATTACTTTAAAGTTATATATGTAATAATTTCTGCTGTAGCGAGGATAGAGACATTTTTTTTTTTAATGAAAACCTATAGTAAAAAATTACATTTGTTTTGTTTTTCATTACACAAAGAAATTTACTCTCTCGAAATATTTAATTTGTCATTAATAAATTCTTTTGCAAGCTTCTGCTAGAATTTATATACGTATCGATAGTTTAAAACACCGGAACGTGTCAAGAATAAATTATGTACATACTGCGTATGTAGTAATGTATGTGTATAATATATTAATGAAATGTTAAAATTTTAATGACGGAAAATATTTTGCAATGATGAAAGAACCGGATGCTGAACCGCAAACTCTCACTTGTTGAGACACAACTTTCTTCCCTTATATTCTCTCGACAAATAATTTATAACATTCTATAATTAATCGTTTACGTATACATATATACATACATATATCTGTATATCAAAAGATACACATACATATATCTTTTATGTATAACGTATGTACATAATAATATTTCTTCCTTCGCTCAAGTTATACTTATTCAATATACAAACCGCGTCAGAAAGTGTGTCGCAAGTGTCGAGCAAGTATGCAACTAATGAGCTTAAACATATCCGCAATAACGTCCGTTGGTAATTTACCTGCATTTTAGTAGCTCGCGCGAAACTTCGTCTCGCGGTTTAATCGCTTCGTAATATCATCAAGTATTAAACCTTGCGAGCGTCGTTGAGTTCTCCAGAATTCTGATGAGGACACCCCTCGTCGGATTTCTTCGTCGTACGGAATGCCCTCGGGAAAGACCCGTAAAATCGACTGAACTTGATGTACATTCCTTAATTTACCGTAACGTGATCCTTTACGCATATTAAACTTGTACGGCTCCTCCTCTTTGGGAACAACAGAATATATATATACATATATGCACGTACATAGAGCAAGAAGGATGAGAACGAAGCAAGAACGGTGAAGTAAGATGCACTTAGACGTTGAGTGCAGTGGATGCGCCTTTACTTAATTACCCTTCTATGTAAACCATACAGATATTAGAAAATTGTTGTTTTAAGACAACATCGCGTGAATTGAAAAGATTCAAATTAGATTTAGCTCATCCAAAACACATTATTGAAGAAAATCTAAGTAAAATCGAATCTTTTAAAATTTTATAAATTAAAATCCTTAACAACAAAACCAATCAAAATTTGATCAAAATGTTTTGTGCGTTTTCTATTTTGTCGCGCGAAAACATTTGTAATATTTTGCCCTATTATTTTTTAGTTAAAACCTTTATTAAATAAATTTACATAGTTGTAGCGCTGTACATTTTAAGTGTGTAGTGTGTACAAGTGGTAGAAAAAGAATTTTTTTTTTCTCGCGCTCGATCACAATCATTTATCAATATGATCGATAAAAGAGAACACGCACTAAGTAGATGTCTACTTATATTGTCAATGATATCAACGTACTTCGTAATTCTATCCGGACACATCACTGTGTCGCTTCCCTCAGTTATCGCGCGATTTCTCTCTCTCTCTCAATTACTTCACTATAATGTCAACAAACTCTACATCTTTTCTATAAATATTCTATCGTCACATAAAAAATTGCGTCAGTCGTGTTTCCCAGAGCATGTGTTCTTTTGCGTCAGCCAGGCCGGATCGATGACAGACAAGCCGCGAATGTAACATCTCCCAGTGGCTATGATCTCCGTGAACAGCAACAACGGGTGTTTCGTATCGTGCAACATCGAATAAGGATGTATGGCTACTGGTTGTTTCGAATATACCTATGTAAAAAACGAGGGATACAAACGAGAAATACAAACAGAAACTAACGAGAAGAAATACGAAGGCGAAAAAACATTTTGATATAACTGATATTAATGTCCATATTCTTCTGTTAAATCCATTCAATGAAGAAACAAATGTGCAAACGAGCGAAAGAAGCAAGAATGAACAATTTCCAAGTTGCTCGCAAAATTGAGAAAAATCTTAACATGTGTTAACAATATTTTGTATATATGTGTAATAACGACAAATAACATTTGAAAGAAAAATGTAATACTGAGAAGAGAAACATTGAAAAAAGCGATACAAAACTCAATAACTTGAATAAAAAAAAAAAAAAAAAAAAAAAATTTTACTCACCGTGACGTACGTCTTATCTCTCTGCAGCTCCGCGAGATTCTCGTAGAGTCCCTCGAGTAAAGCTTTCCTAAGTTGCTTTGTATTCGTTTCGCAACTCGCCTTCTCCAAATTCGCACGTTCCGCTATCGCCGCGAGCTGTTGCCTTACTTCCGACGCGTACACGAGATTTCGATGGTGCAAGAAGTTCTCGTGGCACCATGCTTTCTTCGATGTGGAGTTTTGGTATGCACGGAACACATTCAACAACGTTACGTGATCTCCCTCAGGTGAAGAAAATCTGAAACCCCCAAAATGTTACTCGATAACGTTAAACGTTAATTTACTAAAACAAATACGTTTTACTATCGCTTTGTAAAAAAATATTCGCTTTTGAATTTGAATCGACTTTTATTTTTCTTGAGAAACAAAAACACTTAAAATAACAGACTACAAGAAACCATACCGCGAGTGTGTTTTGTAAGCTTCTTCCCTTTTCATCGGCGGATCCATGAAAATCGATTCGCTTGACAGTAAAGCAATAACCGTCAATGCTTCCTCAAGACACCTGTGCTCTACCGACGCGAGGATCACTTTAGTAAATCGAGGCTCCAGCGGAAACAATGACATCGTACGGCCAAGTGTGGTCAGCTGAGGTGGTGATCCTTTTAGTAGAGATATCGTAAGAAATTTAATATGTTTTTAAATCAAAACGATCTCTTTGATACTTATATCACACTCGATATAAGCTAAGAATTTTCATGCAAACAATCGCTATTTTACTGAACTTTTTGCATATTAAATATAAAGCAATACTTTAAATAAATAAAAATAAACTTATATACATTAAACTATTTAATAAAATACATTTTTAATCGAGTTTTTAGTTTCTTAAAAAGCGCATCCAGGTGTTTTTCTTTTGTAAAAATAATCGAATATTTCGGAACTTCTTACCTCTAATAGCACCCAACTTCTCTAAACAGTTGAGAGCTACGTCAATGCCTTCTTTGGGAGGTTTGTCCATAAAATCGAAATTAGTAATGTCGATGCTAATAGCGAGTAGTTGGAGAGCGACTCCCGCCAGTGAACACCTTTGAATCTCTGGTACCGGCATCTCCTTCATCTTTTCGAACTCTTGCAACGTGAAAACTCTGTAACATTTACCTGGAGCTTCGCGACCGGCTCTTCCCGTTCTTTGCCAAGCTTGAGCCTTCGATACCTTCTCGACTCTTAACATGTCTAATCCCGTCGTCGGGTGATGAGTTCTCACTTTAACTACGCCGCTATCAATCACGTAGCGAATTCCTGTATATTTATAATTTTTTCTTGATAAAGTTTTACGAAAGAGAAGTATCGAGAAACTTTTTCTATATAAAACATTTTTAAACTACGATAAAAATATTTATTGCGTTTCACTTTATATCAAATTTTATTATAAAAGCTCTAAAACTATATACCTACGCACCACCAATAGTGACGGACGTTTCGGCGATATTTGTTGATATTACTAATTTGCGCATTCCTGGCGCCGAAGGTTTGAAGGCTTCTAATTGTTGATGAGTGGGCAATGCTGCATATAGAGAAAAAACTTTTAAAGGTGGATATCCATCTCGATCTAGATCTTTAGCCATTTGTCGCGCGGCTATCACAGCTGCTTCTATTTCGTCTTGACCAGTTAAGAAAATCAGAATGTCTTCGCTGAAAGATCAAAGTCAAATAATACATAAACATTCATTTTTTCACATACACATGTTGCGAGACATTTAATTCTCGAATATACTTTATGTTAAAATACTCACTTTGCGGGTGCGTCGCGATGAATTTGAATTGCTGTAACTAGCGCATTAAATGCATATTCTAGTTGCGGAGAAACTGCATGAAAAATTCGTACAGGATGTTGACGGCCTTCTAAGTATAGTGCGGGCGCTTGGAAATACTCTTTGAATTTAACGGGATCCATTGTGGCCGACATAATTAGAAGTCTTAAAGGCGGCAAATTTTTCAACTTACGCAAAGTTTGCGCTCGTTTTGCCACTCCAAAAAGAATGTCAGTGTGTATGGACCGCTCGTGAGCTTCGTCAAGTATCACCACCTAACGCGCATAAATTATAATATATCTCTTAACATTCATTTTTTCTGAGCTTTTCTCTTCTTTTATAAATTATTAGTAACACTTAATTGAGAATAAATTTATTGTTTTTACTGTTACTTAAGATATAAAACACACCTGCATCTTTTAAAAAGTATCACCTTCAAAAAATATCATACAATAATTATGACAATATACCGAATAATCTGATAAGATCTCGTCTTTCATTGCCTCTCGCACCATCATGCCGTCCGTCATATATTTAATTTTTGTCTGCGCCGAAGTGCAATCCTCAAAACGAACGCAGTATCCAACCAATGTTCCCACACATATTCCTCGTTCTTGTGCGACTCTACGTGCTATACTGACAGCTGCTATTCTGCGAGGTTGCGTGATGCCGATGCAGCCATTAGTTACCTTGTGGTCGTGCAACAGTTGTGGAATTTGTGTTGACTTGCCTAGAAATGATTCATCAAAAACTTTATAACAATATTCTAAAGAATATATAATAATTTATTGAGAATATTATCCGATATTAAATTTTCTGAGAATTTATAATCGTGATAATTCGTAAATTAATGAGAACTTACCAAATACTCTTTGATAATGAGAGAATGTACTTCATAATATTATTACAAAGAATATTTTCGCGATTTATTTCACAATTCTTTACTGAATATTCTCCTGATTCTCAGAACTGTATTTAATATAAAGTAACAATTATTTATTCTTTCACATAAATGTTTTATATTTTTAGATTTTGTTTAAAACAAAATTCTTCAACAGATATATGTTCCAAATTTTTCCCTAATATTTATGTAAGTTTTCAATCACGAGAACATTCTCAGAAAATATTCTTATCTTCTTTTTTTCAATCTTTACACTTACCACTACCAGTTTCGCCTATTATAATCAGAGTATTTCCATTTTTGTATATTTCCTTTAGCAATCTGAAATTTAAAATAACTTTACTCAATAAAAAATCAAAAACAATATACATTTCATCAATTGATGCAATATATTTTATTTTACTCAAAATACAGAAGTTTTGGTAATTATTATGGTAAAATTACATTGTACATTTATGAAAATAAATAGAAGTTTCTATAGAAAGTGTTTTACTTATATGTCATTTTTGACACATACAGAATTTGGAAAGAATAGGATTAAGAATTTTGATATCAATGTGCTTGTTTTGTTTACTATTTACAAGCTTTTATTGCATCACATCAAAAAAGAGAAAAAAAACATGCTATAGGTAAAATTATCAATGTGTTTGATTATGTGACATCATCATAATTATTAATATTTATATGTATATCCTTCATCACAGTCTATATGCCAACAAACAACATATGTGTTCACGACAGTTTTGGTTTGTTTTTTTTTGTTTTGATGATATGTAACTACACATGTAACGCACAAAAGATACAAAAGAGAAACTTACCTTTTACGATGCATGTAGACAGGTAGAGATTTTCTCTGCTGCTGCAATTTGCTGCTTGCTTTGTCCCCATTCTTCATTGCGTTTACGGACGAAGTGTTTTCATTTTTTTGCATTTTATTAGAATGATTGTTGAACAGTACGGTGTTAGGCCGCTTTAGGTTCAATTTGGACTTCCCCATTACGTTATACTTGGAATCCACGTCGTCGTGGACCTTCATCTCGTAAATAACTTGTCAACGAGTGTACGAACACTACGGAAACACGTGTCTACGCAAAATACCACCTGCAATCACACGTAACGCGATCAAGAGAAGAGCACGTGTTGCGCGCTTGTAAACGTATGTATAAACATGTGTACGTATGTCTAAAAACGCCCTCTCGTTTCGACAAATATTCTAGTAACATCGAGTAGGGAGTTTTTCAGACTTGTTACATCTGTTGGCTTCACTTCCTTTATCGATTCTGTCTTCTGCTATGATAGTACTTGCTATTACGGATTTTTATATGACCCTGGCCGTTCTCAGTTTTTTCTCTCTGTATCTAGTCTCTCTCTCTCTCTGATTAAGAGAACGTTGAACTCTAAAAAATATTGACACACTTTTTATCACTATCGCGCGTAAACGCGTGCTTACATGCTGATGTCAGAATTATTTTTAGGTGAAGAAAAACTTTTCTCTCATTGTCATCGAATAACTTCGATAAATATTCGAGCATGTAAAAAACCATCATAAATAAAAATTAACCCAGCATCGAAGTAAATCGTTTTTACTTTATTTATGTTAAAAGACATAAATATATTTTCAGATCAAAACATTTATTACAATTTACATTATACATCAAGATATATATTTATACATCTTTAAGATAGTTTTTTACAATGAGTTTCTTTTATATCAGAAATAGAGATTAATTTTCACAATCCATTTGCAGTCACAAAGAATAAACAGCAATAATCAAAATATACATTATACATAATTATATAATTATACACATACATAAATGTATAATTATATAACTTTATATATAATTGTAGATATATGAAGTTATAGTATGTATACAATTTTTATGAAATATATAAGTGTATAATATATATCGAAACAAGTGTATAATATATATTGCCTAGTTGATGTTAAAAAAAAAAATGCTAACTTTCTAGTGTGAAAATAAAATTGTGAATGTAACATGTGTTAAGAAATTATCACAGCTGAAGCTATATTTAATAGGAAGACACAATCGCAAACCTCGATAAGATTTAAAAGCTCTTTTACACATCTAGTTCAATCATGAATTTATAACTAAAACGAGTACATCATCGCAGTGGTCGATGAATTGGTGTTATCGCATGTACCGGAACCTGTAATAAAGAATCATTATTAAAGTTAAAATTTATAAAATTTTATCGGTTTTATATGTATGTATATATATATATATATGTGTGTGTGTGTGTGTTATTTTGTACGTAACACATCACGCGATTTTTTTTTAGATATAGAAAAATTTGTGTTTGGTAATATTGCGATAGTGTGGTCTATCGCACATGGAAAGTTGAAAAATAAATAAAATAAGATAAATAAGCAAATTTAGTTTTACCATTGCGCCAATGCGAGATAAATAACGATTTCGTATACTAATGTCAGATTGTGGTTGCATGAGACTATCTGCGGAAAAATCTGACGTGCATTCTGACAACAGTTTTTCTCGCTCCAAACTTTCGGGCGTGCACTGCAGTGACTCATATCGTTCCCTTTGTCCCGGCGTCATGTTCAGATAACCGCCACTTGTTGCTATATCTGACACCCAGATTGCGCCAGTAGTTATCAGCGACACTGTTTTGCAGAAACACATCATGTTATTTATAAAATGCCACACACAAGCCCCAAGTTTACGAAAATACTCACCCCAAAGCCAACCGAGGAAAAACATTTCAAGCATTAGATATCCCACTTCGTCAACGATTATACCGGCTACCATTGAGACTACGGCAAGACCTAAGTTTTGTACAGACTGCGCTCTGCAAATAAGTTTTGTGTTAATTTTTTTTAACAAACTCGAGCGTATCTTTGTCGATGATCATCAAATAGACGCTTACATTCCATAAGCAGTGCCAAGTTGATGCTCTGGTGTGACGAGAGCGATCAAAGGCCACAAACTACTAGCAAGCATAGAATATGCAAGCCCCATAAGAACCATACACGCATATGGATTTAAATAAGTAAATGCGAGTAATCCGTGCGCAAGAATGGTCACGCAAATACTAATAAATACCCAGGAAACGTTTTTGCCCGTTCTATCTACTAAATAGCCCAGGAGAGGCGACGCTACTGCAGATATTGAATACACAAGAGAATTCACTGTATTTGCAGAGGATGGATCGTATTCGTACTTCCGTTCGAAAAACACTCTGAAACAAAGTATCACGTGATTGAATTTTTTTTTTAACGTGTAAAAGCACGCGTGTAACAAATGTTTATAGTGCAAAACTTACTTTCCCAAAGCAATAAAGGGAAATATAGCAACATAATAAGCAATGCAAATAACCGCAATCAGCCAAAATATCGGCTTGAAATCTTTGACGTCTTTTAGACTAACAGTTTGGGGTTCCTGTCCCTCTCCTCGTCTCAACAGCCTCTCTGCACGTTTGTCCATAAATGCCAGCACACAGGCGCATATCATTGACATCACGCAAGTGACAGCCGCGAGAAAAAGAACTATGCCAATGCACTGTGGGCCTTTGTAGTACTGGGATACATAATTGTAGATCGGTTCCATTACCAAAAAGTTTACAGTTGATCCTACTCGCGCAAAACTCAACTGTAATCCGAACACCATGTTTAATTCTTTACCTTTAAACCAAAGAACTGCGTAACTGTTCTGTGCAACTGCCAAAGATTCTGCACCAATTCTGTAAAAACAAAAACAGTAATCAAAGCAGTAGTTCCCGAGTTTGTAATAAAATTTTTACAATTAATGTTCAAAAGACGTACCCGAAGACAAATCGACCTAACATCATTAGCCAAAAAGCATTTAACATGGCACCGCTCGCAAAAATAATCTGACCAATCAGTGTGAGTCCCATGTATATCATAGTACCCAGTCGAATTCCAAAGATACTATCCAGTAAAAATCCACCAATAAAGCAGAGGATAACATTTGGCCACGAATATATAGAATATAGCAGAACAAATGTGCTAGTAGACATGTCTAAGTCATCTTTAAAATGTTCTTGTAATGCTCCAGGATTATCAAAGCAGAAATAAGATCCTACAATAAATATACATTATTGTTAGTAATAAAAGATATAGAAGTTAAAAGTCTCTCTCTCTCTCTCACTCTCTCTATAAAAGTCTTTATCTACTCGTTTTATCTACTTTGATGGTATAAAATGCTGATAAAAAAAAAAAAAAAAGAAAAGAAAAAAACATAAAAGCAAGTTTATATCACATATGCGTGCAGTGATATAATTTTACAGTTTCATAGTTCGCATTGCAACAAACGCTTACACAACATATGGTAAATAGTAAAAAAAAACTTGCTACGATAAGACACAAAGAGAACATTCACGATATGACTTATCTAAACACTGTCAAATGTTTTATAAAAGTACTAACAAGAGCAACAGGAGACAACGAAATAATTTGATGTCGCGCATTTGTGTTGCGTAAATAAACAAGAAACGAATTTAATTAATAAAATCCACATGTGACTGAACAAAGCTGCGAGTACAAAGAAAAATAAATCTCTCGCGCGAGTTAGAAAATCACGATTTTTGTATTTGCAATTAAATCTCTCGCGTGAGCCAACGCGATACGCGTGGTTTTATCGGCCGCGCGAAAGATAATAGAATCCTACATTTCTTTTTGACAGTGACATCATTCGGACAGCGTGGCGGCAGATAAACAAAGAACGCGCAGCTACCCAGTAAACAAGAAAGTCTCCGCAAAATTTGTACACAAGTTTCGTACCAAATCCGAGAAGACACATAAGCGCCAGGCCCAGAAATCGGTAAGGCGTCTTTTTCGGACTGCAGCATCCTTGAAGAGCTATCTCGTCCTCGGATCTGGTGAGATTGCTGCTCGAACCTTCCGCGACGCCTTCCTCCATGTTTTTGCCGCGGCCTGTTTCAAAGAGAATTCAGAGCACGGCCGGACAGGTAAATCAAAACTCGCGTGACTTATCTCTGTGTTTGTTCTTTCTTTCCTTTCACATCTCACGTTTGCGCGGAACGGGGGAATTGGCGGTGAGACCGCGCGATCGATAGGCGTCGATCAACTACTATTATACAAACTGTCTGGCACGGAAGACGCGTAACGTCATTGTCGATTAATTTGTCAGTTGACGCGTGCATGCGTCATTCTCCAAGAGATACGTGTATATTGTTATTACGAACGACTTTTTCCGACACGCTGTATGCACACATGTAGTCAGTGGTGGTCAACGGCAGTGTGTCGATTGATGTCAGTGGCGGATTGCCATTCTCCGGGCGTTGCGCACACACGGCGACACCTGCGCGGTCCAAGTAACGCTACAAACGCTTTGAAGCGTGTCATTTGCTCTCTTGCACTTCGATCATGGAACTATCTAATTAACAAGAAAATAAAATAAAGATTTGCGCTCTGCTTTTCCGAGTCCGAAGTTCGGAAAAACGAAAAAAAACAATATAGTGTGTGAAAAATCAACCAATCACAAATAAAGCAATTACGTTTCGATTTTAGCAACCCCCGTAGTTCGCACAACAGCGTTTTCGACGGATTGACAATCGTTTCCGAAGCGATTAATATCGTCAATTGCGTCTTATTCCGTCTCTCTCTCTCTCTCTCTTTTCATTGTATTACCGTCTCACTTTGATATTTTCCGCCACTCAGGCGAACGTTAATCGGTCTCCGTGATGCAACAACAAAGTATTACGAGAAGTATACGAGAAGTATGAAGTCAGCAGAGTCACGCGCTCTGTCGATTCAATATTTCGATTCTCGAAATATCGCGCGCTTCGATACACAGGGCGGTGGGGGAGTAGTAATGGCGGGCGCGCGACGCGAGTGGGATTACGTTCGATTCTGTCTCGTAATTTGTTGTGATTATTATCGTTTTGCGTGCAAATATCGCTTAGTACGTGTGCGTCGCAATGTATCGGCGTTCGGATTGTTGCGTAATTTAGCGTCGCGCGATATCTGACAACGTTGATCGGCGATTTTCACGGTGAAATTGTTTCGCGACCGTTCGCGCGTTCGTGAGACTCGCGCGCGTGCGCAAGAAACAAAATGGTCGCACGTACGCGCGTAGTTGCACGATCATACGTGTTTGTGAAATAAAAACGTAGCAAAAAACGATGTCAAAAAACTATACAATGCGTGTTACAGTGTAATTGTGAAAAAAACAACGACAGCTAAGCGGCATCGGAACTTTTTACAACCGTGCAACATTGCTACGAAGCAGCACGTGGTGTGATCAAGTTAGTACATCTTAGATAAATTCTTTTTCTCTACTATTGAATAAAATAATCTAAAATTACTATGTATTGGGCCCAAAATCGTGTAGCGAGAAACGAACGATTTCTCGAGAGCGTCAAAACAAAACAACTCGTCGTTGGAAAAACATCGCGCCGTTGGAAAAACATCTCGCCTGTTGAATACAATACAAATATATTTTTCACACAGTAACACGAACTTTATTAAATTTCTGTTCTTTCTTTTTCTTCACACAGATAGATAAGAATAATAATATTCCTTGCAAAGAATATTTTTTTATTTGGTCGGCAGCAAAAATAAAACATTAGAACTCGGAATTGCAATAAATTTATTTTTTTTTTTCCGCAATATATACTCGAATAATCAATATTCATACAAATTTAAGATAGCATACAATTTTTGTTAATTTTACTTTTTAAGAAATATTTAAACATTTATAATGAGTTTGGTAATTTACTCTCCCGTTTACGCTCTTCTATTTGTTGTTTCAGGTGCGATTTTTTTAAGATGTTTGCAGCATCGCGCGGAATTCGGGCAATCGGATACTGGCACAAAGGTAATGTTTTATCGCCATTTAAACGTGTTGTGTAACTTGCAAATGTTAAATTTGTTTTTGTGGAAAATCACACGAAATTCTTATTCACCTGTCAAGGTCGTATATTTCGATGTTTTTAAAAAAACTTATACTCTTGCGCTATGGCTTCGTAGCAGGAATGCCAATGTAACAAAATGAAGTAACTATTAGTCTTGTTCGCGCCAGGAACGTAGAATTGAGGGACCCTATGGGGAGTTCAATTACTATCACACTGATATATCGCATTTTATGCATTTATTATCAAAAAGGGAAAGAGATAACTTAGAAATTAATGTTATTCAAACGTAGAATTAACGTCTTAAAACTAGTTAAAATTCGAACAGTCTATGAACAATGAGATGATAAGACAGATGAGATGTCAAGTTGCAGAGTCATTGAGTGTTTTTTTAGTTGCATTTAGCTGATTTTGAAATCACTTAACCAACTAATCAGTAATTTCTTCATTGGCACCTTCTTCAAATTCAAGCTTTACTTGACACTCCTCAGGAAGTCCTTCCACATCTACGTCCGTTTCAGAGGACGATGCATTTAGCATGTTTAGTGTGACATCTGCAGATTTGCCTATAAGACTTTGATTTCCTGGTGTAGATTGTTGCTTTATTACTTGCTGCTGTTGAGCTAGTGTCTGTTGTGTCTGTTGTGGAAGAACCTGCTGCCTAACAGACATTCCAGCTTCCTCAAATGCTTTCTTTTTTAAAGTGGTTCGTATTTGAGAGCTGTGAACAAAAACAACAATGTTGAGATAGTAGTTCAGAGTTGACTATAATCAACAGCAGTGAATAAGAAAGAAACTCACACTGTTCGACTCTTAATTTGTTCACTTATTCTGTTCAATTCTTCACTAAACGTTCTAACTGAATGACGAAGCATCTCAACATCTTCTTCTGTCCATTTGCTGTTTAGTAAGAATAGCAAATTAGCAAAAACAAATTTATTATGATCACAACATAACAAACTTTTCAAACAACTAACTTAATTACTACTTTCCTGACGCTTTTATAAACAAACCATCTATAAATTGTTTATTATACAAATATATACTAAAAATGGTACATATTTGAAATTAGTTCTTAAGAAAGAGAAAATAAAATGTTAATTCACATTGAATTTACCCTGCTTGAGAGTCTGATGTTGGATGTAACTGCATTGACAGTTCACCCAACTTGGTGAAAGCTAATCCAGCTGCAGTAAATATCTCACCTACCTGAGAACAGAGAAAATAAATAAAACTTAGATCGCATTATAGAAAAACATTTCTTTTATTTACGTCTATATGTAGTTGCAAATAATATTCCGTGTTATTAACTGCGTGAAATTCTCAAGTTTATTTATTATTATCAACATAACCTACATAACCTAAAACCAAGTCTTCCATAAGAAAACCACTTAATACATGTTAAACATACGGTGAGCTTTTCACAACAAAGAGACACAGATATTACGTAATCAAAATATTCTTCACTGAAACGACAGTGTTGCAAAGTAAATTATTAAAGAAATTTCTCAATATTACATGTAAACTCTTATATTTCACAAAACATTCGTGCAATATGAATAACAAAAGAATTAAGAGAAGCACGACATTGTAAGAAACGCTTAAACACATCAGTAAAATGCAATACCTACTTTGGTTGCGGAATTCATATTATTCTGGTTATTATTGTTGTGTTATTGTTATGTTCAATCGTTGAAGATCAGAAACCGACGAAGATACGCGAGTGATGACATCTCGCGTAGTTTTCACGATTTTCTTGTTGATTCTACAAGTTAGTTTCAGTTGATAATAAAATAATAAGATTTAAATTGTGCGTTTCTAAGATGTCACGTATGTATACGGCTACGAACATAACATTAAAAATACATTAACCAGATTTATTAGATTGATAAAGTTTAATATGCTTTTTATTTTCTCTTATAATATACGTACGATTAAGCTATTAAAAGTGAAAATTAAGTTTTACATTAATTAATGTAAAACTTTAGGCGGAGTATAAAGAGTTAAAATCAATTTATAATTGTTACAACAAAGTTTAAATCTCGTGATAATGTACAAGTAGCGAAGTCGACACAGATATACATGTAAATGTTAACCTAACGTAGTTGTTAAATTATGTGCAAAGCAATACACATAGAAATTTAAATTAAATTAATTTCAAAAATTCACATTGAACGCTTGGTTTGCATATCAGATGTGTAAAATATTCAATTAATTAATTTTTCTTTATGAATATAAAGTATATTATTATTATTATATATCATTATAATATATAAAAAATTGATCCCAGTATCCGCAATGTCTATTACAAACGCGTTTCTAATAATACTGTGTCTATTGATTTCTTGTTAATTATATTATTTATTAATTATGCTTTTTTCCTCTCGTAAATCAAAAGCGTGCGTCCCCAATTGTTGGCCGCGGTAACAGCGACTTTTTGAAAATCGCACATTCTCGTCAAAATGCTCTCTATGTGACCGATCATATCGCCAGTGTATTTTAATTTCTTTCGCAACGGAAAGTCCTCCGATTTCGTTCGTCTCAGTCGTCTCGACGCCGCTCTGTAACATTTCCACAGCTGCGGTTCGATCACGATCATTTCCGCGAGATCGCACGCTTTCTGCAGAAATTTTTCCAGACCGTCATCACCGTGATTCAAATGAATCCACATGGTGATCGAGAAACAGAACACTACGTCGAATCGCGTCTTATGAAGCCGCGCCAGATACGTCTTCAGGGTCTTGTCGCAATCTTCGGACAAAAAGTCCAGACACTCGAAGGTCAGGCGATCCGGGCGCGGATTGCGCTCGCGCGCTCTCTCTATCAGGATCGGATCCAGATCCATACCGATTAATGAAATTTCGGGTTGATCTCGAGACATGGCCTCCTCGAGAAAATCGCGCAGGACGTACGTGAGATCCTGCAAAATACGAAACGAACGATTACAAATGAAATTAAATATAAAATCTGCTATTTTCAGATTTGTGTAAATTTAAACGCTTGATGGGAGGTCGATATGAAACATGTCGAGAAAACATGTCGACAGTTGCGAAGCATTTTGTTAAGTAAAACGAATTATAACTGTGGAAAAGAGAGAATAGAGAAAGAACGCGAGCGAAAACATGTGCAGGAAACGTCTATAAGAGAAGACGACAAAGAATGTAAGATTCCGGAAGCGGATGGCCTGCTGCTGTGCCGAACGATACCTGAAAGAGGATAACTCAACCAAAATTAGACGCGCTGTTTGTAGCTTCAGATCACGAAGGCCGAGTTTCGGTTGGCTCAGTTCGACACAAACAGACAGACAGCTGCGTCTCGCCGCCGCTCTTACCCCGATGTTACAGCCGACGTCTAGACCCGCGTATTTCCGGGCCGGATAAGCGAGCCGCTGCCACACGCCACGCGGAAGTTGCCGCACGCGCTCTTCCGCAGGATGGAATTGGTAATAATTTATGAAGTTCCCGTGCCTGATAGAACCCGGATCCGTTTTCTCGTCGCTCCTCTCATTCTCGCCGCTAATATTGTTGTCCGTCATTTTGCATTCGTGGAAAAATCTGAAAAACATTGTCGCGTTCGATTAACAAATATTTCTTTATATCAGAAATATATTTATTTATATTATTCCCTTATTTAAAATATTCAATTAAACTATTTTTGTTTATTTATAAAAAAAATATACACGTATGATATTTTATTATTACACTTAAATCATCGAATGAGTAATTGTTGAGGTAATGCCACTTAGACGTGTGAAGAACAGAAATAGATCTCAAAATTGTAAACAAATCCTTGACGTAAAGAGCAATTCAATTTGACAGAAATAAATTTCTAGCGAGTAAATATACATATGTATATATATGTACAACACAAAAAGATGTGGCAATGTTGCGTATGATATTGCAATAGGAGAGTAAAATGACGGCGCTCAACAATGACGACGACAATGACGATGCTAACGGGTGACAAAGAGGCTAAAAGAGTGTCAGGGGAAGAAGAGGAGAGAGAAAGAGAGAGAGAAAGAGAGATAAGGTCAGGGGAACCTACCAAGAGCGGAAGAATTGAGCGGATAATTCGCCGCTGTCCGCGACCCAAATAACCGCAGCCTTCGATCGAGAGACGACGAAGCATGGAAAATAATCGCTGTGAAATAATCTGTAATTGAGAAGTGAAAAAAAAGACTGAGTAATTTTTTTAGTTGTGAAATAATCCGCGATTAAGGAGAGAGACGTGCAAATCGCACATTTTTTTATATTTTTTCGTGTTTTTTTTTTTTCAATCTTTGTCGTGAGTACCTAACACATTTATATTGGCGTAGTTAAACACGTGACTTCTATTAATTTTATGTATTTAGTTACTGTGTTGAAAAAAACGCGACGAAGTCTAGTCAGTTTTCTAACCGATTAACTCTGTGACCCAAAATCTCTTCAAACCTATTTAAATAACCAGGCGAGAATTACGTACCAGCAACGTTCAAGAGAAAAAAAAAATAAAATACAGAGAATCTGAGACACGTGTCCGAAAGCCATTCTTTTGTTCACGAAAGACGATCCGCGAAGTCACGTAGCGAATAACAATAAGATAACAGCTCAAAGTCCGCTTTACAAGTCGAAGATTCGACAAAATATTGAATCCGGCACAGCGGGCGGTCCTTCGATTTCTTGTTGCGTTCTCATTGCCAAATCCGTTTGAACCTGTGTACGTGTGTATTGCCAAATCGGTCCGGAGATCGTGAGGGCACGCTCCGCGGCCGTGTATTTACTTCATAATTACACACACCGACATTACTTCACATTCATCGCGTCATCGGGTAAACTTTATCGAAATACGAGCGGGCGATTGGATTTCAAAAAAAAAAAAGAAAAAAAAAAGACTTTTCTTCTCATTATCGTGAGAACTCGTAGGCGCGTTGCGTTTCTAGCAGCGAAGGAATTGCACGCCCTTGCGTAATCGTTTTGTCAGCGTTAGTCGTAATCGTCGGAAAGGGGGGCTGCGTGGGGGAGACAGAGGCGATATAACGCTTTGTGTCTAATTACTCCGCCAAGCCGTTGCTCCGATTACGGAGCCGAGCGGTAATTAGCCAAATAATTCCGGACTTGTAGGGCGATTTAGCGCGTCGAGTTTCTTGCTTGAGATAATGAGCGTCTCTCTCTCTCTCTCTCTATCACCGATTGTAATAAATATCGTGACCTGCCTGTATGCATCTGCGTGCGGATTGCATCAGTGACATTGGCGCTGCTATATGGCCTCATTTGCGTCACAGACGCGCATATTGCCGGCTGAAAAAAAGCGCCTTAACAATTAGAGAAATTCCGACTTCTCGCATTTAAGGATTGAAAATTTAATATTTTATTGCGAGATATATACGAGAGACGAGAATCCTTGTATTTGTTTTTGCACAACGTGTTTATAGATGTATACGTCTGTATAAAAATATGATCAACACTGTCAACACGAGCGCGTATCTCGAAAAATTTTAATATTTAAAAACTCTCATGTTCTTTATTTCACATATCACACAGATCGACGTTACGTCATTTAAAATTTTACAACTACCGAAGGTTCATTCTTTATGCAATGTAAATACACAAAAGGTTATATACGCGTTGCGAAACGTGACACACACACATACACACGTTAACGTATTAAACGAAATTAGTTGCTGTGTGCACTCTCTCGAAAACGTAGAGCATTTCGGTAAAGCGTGTGACGACACGGGACAATGAACTCACGTGTGTCGTCACATGTGCCACATAAATGACGCGATCGCGATTAGTCATCTAAAATTAAACGTGGTCTTCGATCTCGAAAGGGAACGCCTAGGGGCATTCTCTGTCGTAATGTTGCGGGTTGCCATCATGTTGGGCAACGAGCGTAAAAATCCTGAGGCGGGCTTTCGTCTCGCAACAAGGTGTAAAGTGAGCTCGTCCGTCTAAACGCAATCTTTATGTAACAAAATTAATAAGTTTCTTATCGTAAACGTTTTAATCGACCTGTATCCTAAATTGAAATGCAGAAACTTCCGAATGTTGTTTCGCGTCTCTACTTGTGTTAAAAAAAAAAAAAAAAAAAAAGTTGATACACGCGAAAATAGCAGACAGATATGTAGATTCTCTTTCGACAAAAAAAACAAGACTTGAGGCAGAATTTGAAACAGAGCAACTCGACGCGAAATAAGTGGGAGAAAAAATAACGAAAAGTTTTGAATTTCACAGAGAGAGAGAGAGACATTTCACACAGACCTATAGAATACCAGATATTCTAGTTACAGTTGGATGTTTTTTTCGATAACACGTATTGTACGCGTGTGTTCCATTAAAGAAGTGAAGGGGGTAAGTATTTTTATGGCGCCTGACCGGTTGGAAATCGGTCAATGGCACGGGGAGGAACAGCTGCGCGAGCCCTTTTCGCCCCTTTCTTTTCCGCCACGATGAGAGATCAACAGCAGCCAGTAGTTTCTCTCAAAGCGGGTAAAGCAAACTACAACCCAGGAAGTTGTTCGTAAAAGCGATCCGCTAACGCGCGCATCCGGCGCATTCATTCGTCGTTTTTTTTTTCAGTTCACAATCCCCATTCACACGGTGAATCCGCTTTTTCCGGGATTTTCGTGTTTCCTTCGTCGGCGGGGAGACGCACGTACTTACGCGGGGACATCTCGTTCGGATTCCCGCAACAATGGCGAGCGCACCGTGTACAGGTGCGGGGAAATCAAAGAGGGCGTATCCGGGAAGGTATACGGTTGTTATCGTGAAAAATATCGGGTCGATATTGCTTCGCGAACGATTGCGTGCCACGTGCGTGCGTCTCTCGATCTTACACACGGTCGGGATCACGTCGTCCGTGAAATTAACCGGGCGCAGACAACTTAATCCTATACTATCGTTCGAGTTAAATAAGGGTGTGTCTCTTTTTTCATTTTTTTTTTTTTTAGTTGTACATAAGACTCTCCAGTATGTGTCACATTTCTGCAGCTATATTCAAATTACGATGTCACAAAGTGAGTAATGATGTAAATTTTTGTCTCGCAACATCTAAATAAAATACAGTTCGTTACACATACGCCGTTGTCGGCATTCGAAAGAGCTTAAATCGGACAAAATCTCCGCCGAAAATCTCTTTCCTTCTCATTCTGCATTCATAAACGCGTCTATAATTCAATCTACGTTGGTTTTCAGAAACGTTGTTTAAGACATTAGTATTCCGTACCTGTTCATTGTCTAAAAAAAAGAACTGTGTATCATTTCGATATAATTCTGGAAGATAATCAAACTGATCAAACAAGTCCGCCGAATGCTCGTTCGATCGTTCGATGAACGTTGTGACATTAGGGTGTGACAAGCGTAATCACAAAACTATTATTGAGAAGAACGAGACATGCAGTGTAATTACACATCAAATTGTTGTTGTTAAGAAATCTGTATTTCACAAACTTATATTCTTGTTTTTGTTTCCGTTTGATAATCATATCAATATCGAACATTGTTCACCGGATTTACGATCAGAGCAATACAATTAAAGTTCACGAAAAAAATTCTATATGTTAGTTTTAATATTTTTGGAGAATAAACGGCGCGAAAGTTTGATTAACGACGCTTTCTTCTGGTTGGGGACGTAAATCCGGTTATAATTAAAAAGTGTGTTAGTTAATAAATTTTTGTTTCTATGCGAATTCTCCTCTTTTGCGAAGAAGTATTTTCATTTCTGATACTTCGTAACACAACGAAGTTTACGTATCTCGCTGGAATTCGTTTGTGCAGCGTCCGGTGCCGGAAGCGGATCGTATAGCGGATGACGCGACTTCCGGGACGTGGCCTTAAGAAATTCCACTTCATCGGCGGTATCGTCGAAATCTGTTTGCTCAGCCGCTTCTTACTATTTTTATTGCTCATTGTCAGTCGCGTCATTCCGGTTTGAACTTGTATACTCGTCGAAAAACTTGTTCTTTCTCTTCTCGAATGAACCCGAACGCGCCGAAATGTTTTATTAATGCGCACTTATCATTCTCGGTAACTCATCTCGCGATTTTTTTATTCACGCGATAAAAGTGTCGCGCAGAAGAAAACGACGCAGTTGACATTTTCGCAGACTTGATTGACTTGAAGACGCGATTTATTCTCGACATAACGATAGCGTTTTGAAAACTTACGTGTCGGACTTATATTGAGAGAGAAACACACGCGTTAAACGAATCCGAGAAAGACGATATTTAGTACAAGGTAAACTCCAAGGGTTGAAAGCTGAAACTATATGAAAAAATTATTAACTTTTGCGCTTTTGTTTTTACTAGTTTTCGTTACCGTAAAATGGGATAGTTGAAGAATCAATTTTCGCGCTGAATTTAAAACCAGTTGTATTTTTCCGTTCTAATCTAACGCTAACGGTCGATGTATTGATTACGATTAGATCGCCGAGGATTCGCTCGCGTCGGCCTTCGATAAATGTGATTTCTATATACGTGTTCGAAGATTGGAGGGATTTAAACGCGTATAACTAGGTCATCCAAGCAAGGATACGCGTCACGACGGAGATTTATGATTATGCGCGTATCGCAGCCGAGGAAAACCTCGAACAAGTGTGATGTCAAGTTCGATTCTTTATACGCGCTTATATCCAGTGAATAATTTTTTACGAAATATGTATATCTGTTAGAGAGATCTTTCTCAAACTTTTTATAAATTTGAAGATCAATTAACTGTGTTGTAATAAAATTGTGAAATTCGATTGTCAAGAAACAAATAACAAGACCGAGAGGACGAAAAACAGACCCACATCGAGAAATTAAAAACCTGATAAATGATAACGTACATGAGAATATACGTGTTTGTTGCGACAGAGAAGAATTGCATCACTCAAGAGAGAAACACGTGTTGTAAAACTAATTGAGAAACAAATCTGTGTCGGCTATTAGTATTCTTGAAGCCTAATTAGCTAATTTATGGTCCTAATACGCGTGACGTTTACGAGAAATTAATCATCAATTAGACGAAAAACTAATCGTCAGCTTACTGTCTACGATTAGGATTCTCATTCTCTATTGATTGTGGTGACAGGTCCTTAGTAAGATGAATTATTAATCAGCCAACTCTCTGATTCGCATATATCAACTCTGTTTCGTATATTTCTTGTTTAATGAGGAATATTCTCGATATTCCCACGCGAACGAAAAGAAAGATTTGATATAAAAATTAGTTTTCCTCGGGATTTTTTTTGTAAAAGAATTATTTTTACTATCTAATACGCAACACGCGCACATTCAACCATTCGCATCGTATAATAACGAGAAAAAGCGATAATATTTACAAATAGAAATTTTACACGTAAATTGATTAACTTATATTATCTTTTTGAAAACTAACTTCCACAGGTTTTATTAAAATTAACGTGTAAAATATTACGAGTAAGTAAGTAGTCGCAATATTTCTAAAACATATTGTACAAAACGCTTTGCAGCTGTCCACGAGCAACGTGTTTTGCAAGTTTATATTGCATGGTTGTGTATGCGATTGTGTTACGTGTATAGCGACGGACTAGCGTGAAGAAAAATGACGCAAGTCGAGATGTGGATGAGAGCAGCTTTGTGCCTTGCTATGCAAATGGCATCTCTATGTCTGAAAAAATAAGCATTGATACTTCAAGGATCTAGATCACGAGAGATAAACATTACATAAAAAGAAGAAGATACGTGGCGAGCATCAAATAAAATAAGCATATACGGAAAAAAAGTTTTGCTATTATACGGTCAACAGGAAATATCGTCTCTCCCTACGTATAATTACATAAGTGTCACATACCGGATTTTCAGTTTATTGCATGGTGACGCTTAAAAAGTCATGTTCTTTATGGTCACCGAAAAAAAAATATTCATAAGTATGGTAAAAATTTAAAACCGAAAGATCCCTTAACTAGGGAAACTATATGAAGCTTTAAACTTTTAAACTGCACTCCTCTAAAATTTGCGTTTTGGAGTTACGGGATTATACGTAGGGAGTGACGATATTGGCTAAGTCCACTAATTTTTTGTCTCACTAACAAAAATGTTTTAGCAGATCAACAAATTTAATAGGATCAGCGCGAAAGCATCAAATGTCAAATTTAATAAGTTTAGCAAATTTTTCTTGCTGGCCATATATTAACTAATTTTCTTGCGGGGCAAAAATCTTTTCCGTGTACATACGTATAAAATACGGAAAACATGCGCGATATGTGTTTAAGAATTTAAACAATGCCTGTATAAAAAATCGTCGTATTTCAAAATACGCGATCAAAGAAGTTTAATGCGAATATAACTCTTGCCACAGTTCTCGCAAACATGTTCGAGAAACATCTTATCACTCAGTATTTCTCCATGCGTTCTCAAACGTGTGATTGATACACCAAGCGTCACTGATTAGCGCGCGTCCTTCCTTCGCGATCGCATAGATTGCACGTGATTTTTCGGCAGCCGTGTGCATTGACGCATACAACGCCGGCACATATATATCGCATACGTGTATGTACGTACAAACATCAGATATATATAGTGTGCGCGCACGTTCACGTAAATATTATATATATACATATATATTTGTCACATACACGCTGAGTCGGCGATCAACACACACATTCCACGCTTCTGTGCGCGAATCTTATCGTAATATCGCGCAAAGATACGTCATATTCACTTTGATACGTCATCCTGTATATTTTGTCGAATTAGAAATCACGACGGCGTGACGTCGTGACGTCACCGAGGTCATCGTGCGATCTTGCACCACAAACCACGTTCCGCAATGCACATTCGCAGTCGTCGAGCTTGTGATCCTTCGTAACAAAGTCCGGAAATGAAATCGAAGCATTACATGTAAAACACACACACAGTAGATTTGTTGGAAGTGCAAGAAGTGAAAATTTATCTTGGGTCGATACAAGAGGAAAAGATCGAGAAAAAAGGTACTTGCATAAACTTTAATATATCGTATTTTATCATCCAAATAAGAAAAACATGTGTACGTTACGATGTATATCCAAAATATATGTGTGTAAACCTTATTAGATCATTATGTAAATCAAAAACAATGTGATTAATTTGAAGCAACACGGTATAAAAAGTAAAAGAAAACCTGTTAACATATAATATTATCATCAAAGCGTAATTTATTTCCAAGAACGTTGTCAACAAGATAGTGTATAATATTATCTGCATATCCCTCGTAATATGTGCACTTAATTTATTATCGCGCGCGTCGTATAATTTGCATTAATTTGATTTAACTAATATATCATCGCGCGGAAAGAACCTTTCACCGTCTCAATTTAGACAGTGGGAACGCGGATTTAAAGTGCGCGTTATCTGTAGTTGCCCGCGTGCGCATACACTTTTTCTTGCATAAGTAGTCATTCCACATATGAGAGCAATTATTTTTTAAATAGAAAAAAAAACAAAAAAACGAACGCAAAACAGTTTTTGAAGAAGAACGGCTTTGGAATATTCACGCGAACTTTTTCTTCTCTCGAACAAAAGATCGAATCCATACGTTAGAACAGAAAGTAAACAAATTTTCTGCAGGGCGCAAATATCAATTATTCATTTACATACACATAATAGAAATCGATATTACAGCACGAAATTTCTTTCACACTTTTTATCGTAGAAAAGTTTGTTTATTTTAGGAAAAAACATTATCCTTTTCAAACGACAACGACAAAGAAAGTCGGGGATTAAAAACCACAACGTAAATATGTAAATGCGGTAACGTCTTTTTATTCGCTTCCCGCTTTTATTAACCGCATCCTGTGCCTATGTTTAATTCTGCCGTTTGCTCTTTGTGTATCCTGCTCGGAAATTAGTCGGTTACGTATCTGTTGTGTGCAGTAATAAGCTGTACAGGTCGTGCAGCAGGTCGTCTCGCACAGTCAGGTAGAACGTTTTTTTTTTTGTTTTGCGACGAGAAAAATCTAAGAAAGGAGGTGCGTTTCTATGCTCGGGAGGTGGCGTCGTAATGCTCGTATTTCCTCGCGTATTGTCGTCAAACAGCTGCTACGGATACGAAAGAATGACTTTAAAAAAGGCGGACGGCAAATTCAAATCTTTTTTATTTCGACTTAATCTCGCCACAATCGCATGAAAATGTATACAAAACTTAGTGAAAAAAATAAAAACAAAAATAGAGAAAGCGCGACAACATGAGAAATGTTACCAAATGATTACGCAAATAAGATATGATAGAAATAAAGACGATAAAAAATAAGAGAAAATGTTTTTGTATGCGTAAACATGGTATTTTTTAAATTTCTAATTATTAAAAAAACAATACATGTATAAGCAATATTTAATACGATCAATTCGGATTTAATTTATTCTTCTGATTCAGATATAATTTTTTTATTTTTCCTTTATTTTAATTACAAGCGCGCTTTTTTATTCTCCACTTTTAAAAGCTGTGACTGTTAAGATTAATCTCACAAATTTCTACGAAGTTCTATATACAGGGTGTCCCACAATATATAAGTGCCGTTTGATATACTGTTGAACAATAGGTAACAGGAAAAAAATGTGATAGGAAAAAGACACTTTTATCATGCTTTTTTTTTATGTATAGAACATCACCGTGAAAAAAGAATTTTTTTTATCTTCAATTTTTCAAGGTCATTTCAACAAGATCATTTCGTGTTTTTTTATGGAATGCTACATCTTTGTTTTGATATTGTGAAAATGCAGGAAAAAAAGAATGTGCCTTTGAAGACCATAAAAAAAAACGTACATTCCATAAAAAGCATAAAACGATCTTGTTAAAGATAAAAAAAATTTTTTTCAGTGATATTTTACATAAAAAAACACTTAAAAGTGTCCTTACAATTCTATCTTATCATTTTGTTCTATCGTTCAAGAGTTACCAAGCAAACGGCACTTAACGTGTGACACCCTGTACATCACACATGTGTACACTTTTTCTTATTTGAAAATCTTTAATAAATTGATACATTTCTACGAAATTCTATTTTACGCGTCTCTGTTGTAACATCTTGTGTGTCGCCCGATAACAGCAGAGAGATGTCACGTTTCATCTAATTTTTCATCCGCTCGTTCCACGAACGCGTGACGTGTTGTTTCCCGTTTTCGGACTAGTCTACGAACAAGAGACAGGCTTGCGTTCTCTCCTGCTCGTTTATCTCCTTCCTGCGGCATTTCCTTTCCATTATGTCGTTTCCGCGCGCTCCGCGCGTAGGAGGATTCACAACATCCTCGCGTCCGCTAGTGAATTTTCTCAAGATCGCGTCTCGTTTCGCGGGACGAGAACAGCGCGATAGTCTCGGTCTTTATAAGTTGATTTTTCTCATCTCCCCTTCCTCTCTCGGAGATATCCGAGGGCGCAAAACGAAACAGCCGGCGAACCGGTTCGGTGAATTTTTCGTCGGTTCCTCGTCCCGGACTTTAGACCGGTATTTCTGCAGGCGCAAAGCGTTTCACGGCGTGTAGGTAGGTAGAGATAGTTTTGCGCGCGCGTTTCACAAATTGCACGCGATGCACGTTCCACGCAAGGCTGGCTTGTTGTTTGTTGTCCGGTTCTCAACCGTATACAAGGTGGTGATATCATACGAAATGCTGGATCGCCGCTAACAATAAGTCTGGACGTTGTATACATATATACGTATATAAGCTCGCCATATTGACCAATATTCTTTTTTAACTCTATTTAAAATACATATGTTATTTTATTTATTTTGTCTCGCGCGAATTCGAATTATACGAAATAAATTATTTTTCTTTTAGCATGCAGACTTTTCGCGGTATTTTTATAAGCTTTTGTCGGATATAAGCGTCCTCGTTTGAAATCGTGTCTAATTAATGAAATCAACGTACTCTATGGAGGACGTGTCCTCTCGAAGGTCGATCGTGCGTATCGCGACGTTGTCCTTCGCAAGAAAGCCAACGGTGAATGAACGTTACGTTACGATTGACTTCATTGTCGAATTTCACAATCTCCACCGTTGTCGAGCTGTGATCGAGCTCGATCGAGGCTGCAGCTTCTCGAGGTTTTCTAAAACAATTGTAATCTCCGTTAGCTTTTTTACAAACCGCGCGATTCGGAATCGTATCGATCTACTTGATCAAAAAATGCAAATGCAACACATCCGTCTGTAAGACGCTCAATATCAAAGTCTTGTTAGTTCGCAAATTTCTGTCCGCCCACTTTTGTCGCAATCACTTTTATAAGTTTTTAAATTAAGTATACGTCAAGGTAAATGTGTCGCGGATAAAATTAACCGACGACGCGAACCAGTCTCTTATAATTAATGCGCTCGTGTGTGCGTTCTCCGCTTTTTGTTGTGCAAATGACCGAATCTCTGAAATTAATCGAGGTGAAATTTTTCATCTGTCTTTTGAAATAAAAAATTCGCGCTCTCTTCGTTTTTATTCAGGCAACAGGCTGAATAAATGATCGAGCGAATGAATCGGTCGAAGTTGCGTTTTCTTCGTTCTCAAGCAAGAAAAGGCCTCTCTTTATCGGAGGAAGTAGCGCATAATTTTGTGTCGGTGGGCTGTGACTTCCGCGTTTCGGTTCCTGTTTGCGGCACAAACAGTCTCATATCGGGGACAGATAACAGTGCCGTCATTAATAACGTGCGCGCGTTTCTTCTTCGCAACTATAATTCCGAAACGGTATTCCCAGCGGAACAGAGCATGATTTCCGATACAGAGTATTTCGAGAAAAGTCTTCGTCATTCAATTGATTTTTGCATACTTGAAACAATGAATCACACACACTGATAAGAAATGGCTCGAACAAATTCAGTCAAAAAAAAATGACCACGCCTGAGTTTTGAATTTATTTTATTATCTTTTGAACGAGAGAAAATTATTAAATTCCATAATCTTTAATTATTTATAAGAAAAAAAATGAACTATCTTGCGATTTGTGATTTTATTACGTTCTTTAAATTCAAAGAAATTAAATTTCGATTAATTATGCACATACTTTCAAAAGAGGGAAGGAAGAATTATTGCTAAAATATCGTCGATAAATTGTGCGATTTCGTAGAAACGTCTAATCGCGTCGACCAGTTAAGGTACACACAAGAAGCGATGAGCACAATCATCTATGATTATCGACATCCGGTTTCTTGGCGAAACGATGATTTCACGAGCGGCAACGTGAAATGGGACAATTTTGTGCGATTGCATTCTCCCGGCTGTTTATTGCACATCGCGGAGTCACTGGACTACACCGTGATGGAAAGTTACATTAAATCGTGCAACATATTATGAAGATAGCGTGACGATGTATGCGCGATTAACAAAAGGGTAGTGAAAAAGCTTAAATTGTCGCAACCCGCGTTTCTCGCAAAGACTAAACGATTACAAAAAGTACGGTGCACACTTGTTGTGCAAATAGTATGCGCGGTGAAGTGGAATAATTTATTTTCAAGTAAGTGGATCAGTATACTTTTTTTACAGATTTTTTTCTTTTTCGTCAATATAAAAGTGAATTAAGTGTTTTTGATCGATATATAAAACGAAATAGAATACTTTTTGAATCTATTTATTACGCAATCTCAATCTAATATAAACAAGGCAAAATGTTTAATTTACATTACTAACGTGACATTTACGTCACATCACGTGTTCATGTCGTTCTTTATGAGAGCTGACGCAACTTAGCAAGAATAATGTCTTATTAATTTTTTTGGAAGCAAATCTACCGAAAGATAAAATACAAATGAAATTGAAGAAGCAGGTATTTAAACAATGGAAATAACATGAAATATCGTCAAATATTTATAACTATTACACGATAATGCTCAAGAAAATCGAACAAATTCTGCTAAAAGTTATTATATATGTTACATATCTTCTTCCATTTTACTTGTACAAAAGTTGCAAAATTAAAATTTTGTGTCCTTGAAATATAAAATACACTTTTAAATCGTTCGAGCATATTTCTTTTGTCTTAAGTGTGTTTTGTCTCTCTTATTTGATTTCTCATATTTTTTCGATATATTGTGATATCGCGACGAGGTGAGATTAAATTCACACATCTCTAAATCTTGTGAGCCAAACTCTCCTGCTTTTGATAAAAATTTCATGTAAAATAAATTTAAAAAATTCATGAATTTTTTTACATTTTTACACTGTGCATCATTTAAAATAAAAGAAGTGCTTTTTAAGCGTTTTTAAACTCTACTTTTATTATAAAAAAAAATAAATGATTATCTGTCAAAAGAAACACGAAGTACTGATCAGCGGAGAATGTTCAATGTGTGACCACCAACAGTATACTCGTAAAGCATGTAAAAGATAAGCGAAAGGATCTCTTTCCACCTTCTATATTGCCAGTCTCTTCCATTGTTTTCCAATCACCGAGCGAGATTCCGCATATTTCTCGATGACTAATTTATCTGTAGTCATGGCGCGTAAATAACTACTGACCGAATCGTGGCAAGCGGAGGTGCATGAGTGACGATAATATATAGCTTGTTATTTACATTTAATCGTTAACGAAACTTTACAAGATCTTGCTGCGTATATTTTTCAATTAAAAAAAGTTTTAAATCAATTTTTTGACGCTGATAAAGTCAAAAAATCGATGTACGTTATAGTTCCTAGAATTTTTTAATCAGACAAAAAAACAGACTACAGACTATTAACTTCCAACTTCCATTATTTCTACTTGCTTTCATCACGCGCCTAGTCATAGAATTTAGCTTCCGACATAGAAATTTAAACAAAAAATTGAATCATTTAGAATCAACTCTACACATATTTATACATTTGTATATTATCAGTTTTACGACCGAGAAGCTATTCAAGGCTATCTTCGGAACAAAGTACAGCATATTGAAAATAATCGGTAACGCACCGAAAGTCGTACTTGGAGACTGTTCCTTAGAGACTCTATTCTTGGTCCCTTTTCCGTAACTTTACTTTTAATCTTACATCAAAATATATAATTTATGTTCGAAATTATTCTGAAAATATCCAAGTTTGATTATTACAAAAAAACAAACCAACACATAAATTACATTTTGGTTTTTTTTTTTTTACAAAGGAGCTGTGATTGAGATTGCGAATAAAACTTTGAGGTTTTTTATTGTGCTGCGCAATCAGTCGAAGTGTTCGTAATCCTAAAACTATTTGAACATACACATTTATAAAGAAAAAAAGTACTTGAGAAAACAATTGTCACGAATACATTCCGCTTGTGAAAAATAAATTTCGCCCGATAATACAAGCTAATCGATTTACTGTCAATCGGCTCGATGCGCATGACGAAATATCTCCGCGAATGTCGTTAAATATCGAGAGATCACAAATTTAAATGTTACTAAAAATACTGGTTAAGTGCATAAAAAAAAAAAGATATACTGTGGTTTCGTCATTCCTCGTGGAAAAAAAAAAAAAAAACGAAACCAGTTTTGCGGATTGCCTGCCCGGTGATAATTTCGCGAACCATGTTTACGAGACAATGTCACAGCGAATTGTACAATGTTGCAAATTATTGCGTTGTGGATTTTTAACAATTATTCCGTCTCGAATAACAACAATAAGAATGTAGTTCTGTAATTTCTCGTGTTTTTTTCACATACAATTAATTATTAAGTACTAAGTATTTTTTTTTTATTTACGTTGTTTAAATGTTATCGCAAGTCAGAGTATCGAGAGTAAAGGATTCAATCTTATTGCGTTTTATCAATCAATATTTATTAATCTATTAACTTTTTTTGTTCGAACGACATAATCAACGGTTGTCGCAACAGTTGCGTATGAGGATGTGGGTTTGATGAAATAACATCGTACATTACGCGTTCTTTTCTATATATATCCGAGACGTTATCAGAGAAGAAATTTGAAAACAACAAGTCTTTTACAATAAGAGAGTTTTTTAAATATAAAACATATATATATATATTATATACTACACAATTAAGAACGAAAGGTAAAACTTTTGTGATGAGTTTCCCACGAAAATAAAAACCGGATAAAACCGAAAATATCCCGACCGATGCACACGTACACGTTTTACACACGATATCGTGTAAACTATATTCGTGCTAAATCATTATTATATTTACAAACATCTGACGATAAAGCTGTCGAAATGACGATAACACGAGCGCAGATCGAGCACAGACTTTCCGTATCTCTTTCGTGGTGTACTTTAAAGCTGGGGAGGTACAGACTCCGTGGCACATAACGCAATGCGACAAGTTTGTCTCGAAATACAATACCGTTCGCACATGTACGTTCGAATCATGAGAAAAATATTGCATTGCATGTGGCGTTGCGTCCAAGCTTGAGATCGCTTGTCGCTTCGCAACACATGCCACGCGGACTTTTCTCACCGAGTATCGATCGGAGCCTGACCAGATCGTGGGACGAGTAACGAACATCACAGATGTCGTGTGTGTGTAAGCCAATCGTCCATAACGCCGAGCGTTCACGGATATCAGTCACGTTGCGACTGTGAGAGTTCGTTGCTCGTCCCACTGTACCGATGGTATCTATCGGTCGCTGTATCTCGTCACCTGAGGAGATTGTTCTATGTTCATGGGAAGTCTCACATAGTGATCACCCTCAGGTGACGATTTATTTAAATCTTCAACGCGTCCTCCATATTCATCGCGTCTTCCCTCCTCCCTGCTGCCCCTCCTAAACTTGGTTGTATCGCTCGTCGGCGCTTGTCCAGCTCCTACGGAATTGCGCGCGATAAAAAAAGAAGCAGTCACGGCGTTGACCAACATCCGGTGTCCGGATGATGTGCGTATAAAGTAGATTTGGAAACTTCGGCCGCCGGCCGAAAGTCTGGTCTGATTCGAACGTGATCCGGAGAGCGTAATAATATCGCTTGTGTTTCTTATCTTCCCTTCCTTCGGAAAAGACGTACACGTATTGCACATACGTTTGTAACAATATACGTGGCCTCACACACGTCCGCCACACACCGCGTGTGCACCTTCCGAGTACGCCGGCGTAGTGAATTACATATGTATATACTACGTATATCGTTGATTATCATCGCGCAAACACACACACACATACATTTGTCGCATTTGACTGTGTTAAATAGCTCATTTTAAATTTCGACGAGAGAATTTTAGATTCAATGTACATCTCGCGGTCGCGAATATTACACGTTAACAATCTCGCGAAATTGTGGAAAAAAAAATCATTGAAAATGCAAGTCACGATTGTGCAGCCCTTGTGCGCGCACGCAATTGTTCATTATTTTTTTTCTCCCTTTTTCTCTCCTCTTTTCTTTTTTCTTCCTCGTCCGTGACGAAGAACGGGTTAGGTAGGTCAAGGGCACATTGTCCACGTTGAAATGACAACCTCTTCAGAGATCTTGTTTCTTGTAAAGAGTTACACACACACACACACACCACTCAGGTTTTTTGAGAATACGTGCCGCGCGCAATTGTACTTCTAATTAACCGTTTCGACAATTATTTTTCCACGATTAAAAATGGTATTAATTAAATAACGTATATTTTTTTGAAATAGAAACCGGAGATATGTATCTCGCGCGTACTTGAAATTTTAAATGGTCGCTTCGAATTAATTTCTATTCAAAATACGCAATTTAAATTCTGTCGAAAATTTACACACAATCGCCTCAGGTAAAAAAAATCAAATTCCTTTCCTACTACGCTATCGTGTACACGTACACACACGAACGTTAAAACTCGATATATATATATATATATAAACCCGACTTGATACACGACCGCGTGTCGCGGTTCAAAGAGTCCACGTATACCTACGTAATCAAGATGGCCAGTAGCGTCTCTTGCACGTGGACTGGCTTCGATCGCCCAATGGCGTTCTTTACGTGGTGTTTGTTATGTTATTCTCTTTAAAACAAATTAGATGATAATGAATAACGCTCTTACCTCAACGTGCCTCGCGATTAATTCGTTCGTCATCCGTTGTTTTTTTGCAAATGTCAATTTTTCATTAATTTAACGCGCGTCACTCAGCGAGTCTGTGACAACAAAAAATCATTTCATGTAATCCGTAGCACGTGTTACAACAGAGCAACGCGAGTATGATGTAACATCATCCGGCGATTCAAGAGATGTGTTTTTCCATCTTGTGTTGTGATACCAATGACCTCACGGAAGGTAACTAGTTCTTTCGGAATCGACGTGTGCTCTGCCGCAACGTGTACGACATTTTGCAATCTCTAGCAACTACTGTATCATTCGACAGTCTAGCCAAAAACTTTTTAAAATAGCCAGGACCCGAGAGCTCAACTGTAACTTACAATCGGTAACACGTAATAGTGTTCGATAATGTAAAAACTTCCTAAGCAAGATCAGCGAATAATCGAAGAAATATTCGCAGAATAGCACAAGAATTTTACTTGGTTAAGTGTGCGCGGTACTTTAATAAGATTGCATCTATATCCCGTCGTATATGTCCGTATTTCTTTAATCTCATTCGCGATAAATCGAATTAAAAAACATTTAACATTTTATACAATTACACATATACATACATATCATTCAAGAGAACATATACATACTATGTGCCGGATAAGATTATATCACGAAATGGTGTGGAAAGGCGGGTTCTTTGAGCGGCCTCGCCGAGACTGTCAAGACACCGAGACGAACCGAAGTTAGCCGAACGTGCGCGTTTCCCCTCCTCCTCCGCCAATCACGAGAACGACCGAATAGTGGCGAAGCGTTCGTACGTTAGGTTCGGCGGTTACGTTCGTTCGCCCGCCAGCGCCAGATCTCAGTTGTCAGCTGCACAATGGCACCGTTGGTCTGTGTTCGCTTGTCCTGCTGCCGCCGTCGTTTCTGAGCGGTGGGCCGGCCCAAAACGTTGGACCGTCCGTCGCGCGGATACCACGAGTCTCTCCTCTCGCGTAATTCCTCGCGCAACGCTCTCTTTCTTCCTCTCGCGACGCTCTCTTTCAATTCCGAGAGAGTTTTTTTATCGGGGAGACGAAGTCTTAAAAAAAAAAAATCTTTTTCTCCGCGGGCCGCGCCTCAGAAACGAAACCAAACAGCCGAAGCGAGCGTCGCGTCCGTCGAGACGTGACGCCAGCGACCAACACGAGAAGCGAGCCAACAAAATAGACGACGAAGAAAAAAGACAAGAGGGAAGACAAGGATCACCACCTCGAACCGCGGTGCCGCTCGCGCGGACGTCCAATCGTCTTTAACCAACCTACCCACCGATTCAGGAACGACAACGGCGACAACGACGAAAGGAAAACACAAAGGTAAAATCCCCGGGAGTTTGCGTTTCCTTGATGAGAGAAAATTTCAGTTCGCGATTCAGCGCCGTGTGTCCGTCCCTCCTCGTCTGATCCGCACGAAACGCGCTATCGACCGTGCGGCACCGTAACGGGGATGATGCACGACGTTTCGGGGTGGCAACGACGAGAGGTAGCGCAGCGCGTTTCTCTCGAGTGCTTGTGTGCTACGAAATCTGCTCTGTGAATTATGTCGCGCGACTCCAGTGCAAAGTGCAGTGCCTCGTTACATCGCGACTGTATTATCGCGATGTCGCCTTCGGCGTATATCTGTCGTGGTTGTATTGCGACAGTCAGTCTGACTTAACCGTGTTGCATTTAAGTTCGCTCCTACTCGGCAAATTTTTATTTTCGATGCCACAGATAAGTCGCGTTCTCGGAGTTTCGCACTTTTCTCTCTTTTTTTTTTTATTTTTGTTTTTTATTCCCGTCGAAATATCTCGCCGCATCGCGAAATTGCAATTTTAATTTCTAACACATCCAGGTAATTTAAAAAAACTCCCGGAGAAAAACTCCGAGTTTCGTGACTCATCAGCTAATCCTAACGCTGTATCTCATGTTTATTGTAGTTTACTAAAATAGTTTACTAAATTGAAGACAAAAGATTTTCAAAAGATTGTTAATCCAAATTAGGCGAGTTATGTTGTTAATAGTTGTGCAATTTGTTTATAAGGAAGTTTTGACATTGCACTTTGTTGCGTTACCGCAGATATTGTCACCAATCAATTATAAAAACGTCGCGTGTGACAAACACAAAAAAAACCGGTTAACGTCGGGTCCCAGCTTGCATTTCGCAATCGATTCCGCGGATCTGGATTGTAATCCTCTCTTGATAAAGCTATGGTTGAGTGATGTCATGAAAGAAACATTCGTGAGATTCGTATCAAAGAGAGGACAGTCACTTTTGCATCACGCGAATTATGAGCAATGTTTAAAGGGATCGTTTCCGTTTTTTTGTTTTGTTTTTTTTTTACGTATATATATAACTTGTATTAAATGTCACACTTTTTTTTGTTTTTGTGTGAGAATTTCTTACTTGAGTTTTTACTCGAAGTGAATTAATAGAAGCTCGGTTGAAGTCGAGTCTTTCAAAATTGTTTGTATTTTTGGAGTAACTTTGTCTCGCAACGCAGAACGCGCGAGGAACATGAGTCTCGAAATTTTCCTTGTCTTATTATATTTGCTAACACTGAGTCAACAGTGCCATTTTACACTGAATGAACATATTCACGCGTTGAATGAACGATTTGACGCATACACTACTAAATCCGGTATGATCTCAGCCGAGTGCAGCCGATCTGCGTACGAAAAATAGCTTCTTTGTTCGTTTCCTTGACAAAGGAAACGCGCGCAAAAACACTTCACTTTGAAAGATCGTCTTCTTCTCTCTCGTGATCGACACCGGAAAAGTAATCTCGAATGATATTGCCAGCAATCTCAATAACCGGAGAGTGTTCGATATTGCAAAATAAGAGGAGGGGGATAATGCTGGGCGAGAGATAAAGAAAGAGGATGGAGAGAGAGAGAGAGAGTGAGGGGGGGAGGAGAAGGAGAAGGCATAAGGGGAAATATTCAATATCATTCGGCTTTTCAATCGGCATTTTTGTCGATGTAATCGCAAACGGTGCGGAGCTAAACGGTATTAGGCAATTTATTTCGCGGGCTTGCGTCACGTTTGGTTGCGCGCGCTATTAATGCAAACGATGCCCGCAATATCGCCGTTGCGCGCGCGACGACAATCGCGGGCTCTCCGCCATTTTGACCTTACCGAAGGATATCTAGTAACCATACCGTTTACAGAGGTCGCGGGATGTAGTATACGTGTGTGTGTGTGTGTTTGCGCGTGTGTGTGGGTGTGCTCTCGCGCACATCGGCGACGATATAATCGCGCGTGTCGTTTCGACACACGCGGCGACGGCGACGGCGGCGGCGGCGGCGGCGGCGAACGCAACACTTTACTAATTCCGAGCTCGCGATTTCGTCAGATACGCGCGTTTCATTGAGGGAACGCGCGACGCGGGGTGGGAAAGACCTCGACAGTGCCCCGGGTACGCGCACCTGCCGGCTACGTCGCCGGTTAGCGTTGAGACGGGCGCACCCGAGTCTCGAGTTCGCTCCGCTCTCGGCGAGTCTCTCCCCTTGCAATTTTGATCACGAATTTTCTGCGAATACAAGTATTTTGAATTATCGAACTTAATTTGCATGTTGCATCAGAGAATCTAAATGTTTTTTGTTTTAAATAAAAAGTTGTTGGTAAAGAAATAGTGCAAAAAAATGACGTATTAATTTTATTATGAAAATTGTATGTTTATGATACGCAATTGGAATAGATTGTTAAAAAAAATATACGTGATTAATATGTTGCGTTACTTTCATACTGTGCAATATAAAGAGAACGTGTGATGTAAGATTTTATCAGTAACTTGTCGAAGTACATTCGCAATAAATGAATCCGAGAAATTGTCGCGGCCAGATTGGGATCGCAGAACGTTGCTGCGGTTAGGTCATCGCGGAATAATACCTATCTCGAGGACGCTCGCGCGGATCGAGTTGAGTCGATCTCGGGCCCATTCACCTGTCGATACAGCGCTGATGACCTCACTGGGTAGTATCGCGACATCCACGTGATCGGAGATAACGTAGTTTTTCGTATTGGAATGTCCTCTGCAATGAAACAGTCGAATTGCGATCAAACCGTTTCGTATCGCACGAAAGACTAAGGCGGGATGAAAGAAGAGGGAAGGGAGGCTTGAGAGATCGCGTTGCACAGTCTTGATCTTTGGAGCGAGTTGCTGCTCGGGACTCGCGTTGCGTTGGTGCCTGGTTAGACTTTTGCGCAAGTGCGTAGATATCGTAATGGAGGAGACTCGCGAATATCGCCAGTCAGCATCTGCCGCGCGAGTGATATATGATTTTCAAACGATACGACGTAAATGCAGCTCGTAAACAACCCAGAATAATTGAGTAATATCTCAATCAAACTTGTCTGCGATAGTCAATTATCAAAAGTAACTTAAGATTGTCACACTTGCAAGAACTAAAGACGGTATGGAATTGTATAATAACGCGTAAATTTACAAAACAAAATATTTATATTAATATTTTATGTCGTACACAAATATCTTCCTCTCGGCATTTGTCAGGAGAAAAAAAATACAAGAGAATTTTTAATAAACAATTACATTTTAAATTAATTTTTACTATCACTTCGGTTTTTTGTAAAGAAATTTGCGTAATTTACATCTCGATATATATATATAATATATATCATCTTGCTTTTTTGCTTCTCGATATCTTGTATCACGTCAGCATCGATTCCCCATACTGTTCTTTTGCACACTCAAGGTTGACATAGTATTTCGTCACTTTTTACCGGCAATTTATTCTGTAAAATGACGGTCTTCGAATTTAATCGCTCATTATCGTAAAAACTCTAATTACCATTGCTAACTCCCTATGTAGGTTTTCATTTTCAACAAAAACAAGAAGCGCGTGTAGTTTTTTTTTTTTTTTTTTTTAAGTAATCACACTAGCAACTGATGCATCTGTTGTTTGAAAGAACAAGCAGTGCTGCGGATATATTTTAGTTTTTCATTAAATATCGAATTGCAAAATAGACACAACGGACAAAAATTACGAAGTATAATCGAATGTAAGTTACGATCACAGAATCCGGTTCTGGTTTTTGTTGAATTTAAGAAAAAAAAAAAAAGACATCCAACGCAGACGAAGTCGAATAAGACTGTGCGAGCATGCGCGCCGACTGTGTGTGTACGCTTCGAGGAGCTTCTTCAAGGACAACTGATATTTGCATATCTTGAATTGGCGGCGAACGATTATACGAATGAGAATTACTTTACATACAACGCGAAGGAGCTAATCGAAGGTCGATGTTGACCAATGATTTTGGCTGAAGAAAAACGCCACGCGGTCTATCTTTTGTTCGTTTTTACTTTCTTTATACGCGTTGCAAGTCACAAAGTGCAACGCACGATTAAGTCTTTTCACAAATTTATTTGTGCAAAAAAAAAAAAAAAAAAATAGTTCTAGTCGTTTGGTACGCGCGGAAACTTGTTTTACAGTTGCGAACGTGCTCGCGCAAAACTATTTTCCTTGTTCTCTCTGAACGAAGGTGATTTTACTTCGCTTAAACAGATTAAAATTGCAATACATATAAAACTCGTTCGTTTAATTGACCTAACGAATGACGTTGAATGAATACGTACGTACATACTCGCGCTATCGTTTTTTTTTTTTTTTTTTTCAGTGCGCGAGTTCGTTGTATGTATGTTTTTTTCTTCGAAGCGCGTTTAGTGCACTCTCGTCGTTTGCGCGTATCCGTTTCCCGGTATGGATTTCGGTGGATGCACCGCGCGCGCGGATGCATTGTTTTGTAAACATTCAACGCGGATCAACGACGTGTCATCGACATTTATCAAGGGTAACGTGGGAGGGGTTAGAAGAGGAGGGAAGCATTTACGATAAAATTACGCGCGTGAGTCACAGCTCTAGCGGATCATCGCGGCTGTTACTATTTCAGGCAGTCTCTCGAATAAGTTCGGCTGTACCTCCGTCAGGAGAATGTATTTGCTTTTCTCCTTTTCTTACTCCGTTTCCTCTCTCTCTCTCTCTTTCTCTCTTTTGTCGATTTTTATCTCTCGGCGGCATAATATAATGTGCATCGCGATCTTGAATGTCTTCCTAATCGCGCGTGTTTCTCGTCGTCTACACGATTATCTCGTCACTCGGTCACGTGTAGTGTCTTCACTTTACATTTCGATCATTCATAAAACCGTCACGTAATTTCCTCTTTGCCACCAGTGGCGGCTCTAGACTCCGCAACCGCAAAGCCGCACCGACACCTTGGAACAAAAGCAATCGGTTTGCTGTTTTGTAACGCGAAAGTTGCAGGATTTTATTACGAGAAAGAGAGAGGACATATTGCAAATAATCTCCCGGTTTCACTTCCGTTTTGGGTAAATTATTTGCATAGCGACGGATGATATATCCGTCAGCTTTCTCTCTCTCTCTTTCTCTCTTTCTCTATCTCGCAATCTTCGTAATACAAAAATTTATCGTTGTCTCTCTTTCAAATTCGAAAGAGATTGACATCGTCATACAAACGCGATATTGTGAGTTTTTTTTTTTCGTTTTTCTACACCGACACACGCTACTCTTTCATTTTGTGTTGAATCGACACTGCGGGAAAACGTTTACAACCATTATGATAAGATGAAACACGAGCATTTTATATATTTGTGGTGTGAAAAAAACTCGCAGCTGGAAATTGACTCCGGGTAGTAAAAAACTCGCTATCGCCCCTGTGTTCGTTGACGATATCCCTGACCTTAGGAGGCCTCTTTCTTGACTGTAACCGAGAATTGCGCACAAGACAGGAATGTCGAAACGTCGTCTTTTGAAATTGTCCGTGAATCATATTATGGACTTTGCGAACGGAACTGTCGCCGTTCTGTCGTCGGCTCGCACACGAAGGCGTGTACGTGTGTAACACGTGGGCGTAATTGTGATGTAGGTGCTCCATGCCTCTTCTGTTATTTTGGCCAGGGCCACCTGGCGCGAATTTTTATGAGAGAAAAAGATACTTTTTTCTTTTTATATCTTTTTTTTTTTTTTAATATAGCAACGCGTCTGGGAAGAAGATGTAAAAGTGCAAACCAATTCGCCGCGATTTATTATTGAAATTCGCTTCTTGAATGTCAATTTTTTTTAATATTATAGAAAACGTATATAGAAAACGTTTTTAATATTCATAAAAATTTAATTAGTCTTTGAACTAATATAAAACTTACAATCAGCGTAAAAAATTAAGTGAAAAAGTATGTACACAATGATTCTGAGAAAAAAACTAATACAAAAAATAAATTCTTATTCTTGATTCTCAGAAATATTGTGTACATACTTTTTTTTACTATATCTCGATGTTTGTCTTATATTTTTGTATACGTATAAAAGTATTATATTTGAATTACAATCAAAAAGAGATGCGAAAAGAGATAAGCAGAGCATACACTGTCACGAATAATATATATATATATATATATATGTAAAGCAATGTTTATTTTTTTTTATTACAGGATCAGCTCCCTAGAGCGACCGACTGAATATCCAAAAAGATCTCTCTCCGTCCAAGGACCCGGCGCAGCGACACTGCGAAACGACACTGCGCGGGCCCCCCAAAAAAGCACAAGTGATATTTCTAATAGTTTCGTTTAGCGCTTAGAAAAGCCAAACCCGTCTCACACTTTGTTCGTACAAATGTCGGTACTCTGTAACATTCAGTGCTAAGTCCAAGTGGCGCAAAGTGTGTTCAACGCATCTCATCGCGAATCCGCGTAATCACGCGAAGCGTGAAACAGGACAATACAAAACAATACTTTGTGTACGAGTGCGATCAAACATCGGGTGTGTGTATTGCGCGCGGGTGTAAACGAGGCGCAACATGAGAGTGGCCAGGCAACATCCGTATCTACCCGTACCGAGTCGAACTACTACCACAACTACCGCCAATAATGGCAAGCTCGTGGTCCTTTTCAACGGCAATCAGGACGTCGTTCATCAGCAATTGCCGCCGCAGTCACCACCACAGTCGCCGCCGCAGGTGCTGCAGCAACCACAACAGCAGCATCAACCAACCGGCGACGAAAACAGCGCAGTGGTGCCGCCAAGCTGTGTCTTTCCAAGCTGCGAATCGGCGCCCACCGACCTTCAGGGAGGACCGACTATACTGATGGATCGATTCCTGCTTCTTGGTCCAGCCGAGGGTAGCGCTCTATATCGTTGCGTTGACGTACACAGTGGTCAGAAACTTGTCGCCAAGGTCAGTATCTTTATCTGCCTTTTTTACACGAGTGATTCATGCTATTTGCCGCACGTTATTCGCCAATTTGTGTTTTTTTCGTGGACCTGTAATTTTTGATAAACTCCGACTCATCAAACAATGAAGTGGCGAAATTAAAATCCGCTATTGTATATCTCTGCGTTACTAGAACATTCCAGCAACCGGCTCATTAAACCTATCTTGCGCTTCACAGTTTTGACATGTCACTTGTTATTTACGTATTAAATAATCATTCCATGCATAACAAAATAGTATTTTATTAAAAAGAATTGTTTTTATTTTTTCCGTGCATTTATCAAATATTTAAAATTCAGGATTTGAAAACATTCAAATAAATCCTGACTTTTAAAGTAATATTTGACAAAGAGAAAAAATAAACAAATCTTTTGTTTATTTTGTTCTCAAACATCACCGCACGTGTTTATACAAATATTTGATAGAGTATTATTTATTACACATAAAATTATTATTTAATACGCGAATGACAAATGCCATGTCAAAACTTCAGTTTTTGCAACGAAAGATAATTAAGTTACAATTGTATTAAATATTATTTTAATTATGCTGTGTGCGCGTGTATGTCACACACACGTAGAATGATTTTAACAAATGTCTGTTGCGATAAACGGTTAAAAAATGTCGCAATTTTTGATGACAATGTCGTAAATTAGCCTATTGTATAATGCAGTTCATGGCATATATCGACGCGACGCACCTGGATGCGTTCGCAGCGCACTGCAGCTGCCGAGTAGAATTTCCATCCAACAACCGTGGCATTACATAATGGAGCATACGGACGTAACGGTTCGTTAATGTTCGGGTCGATCGAACTCCCACCGTGAAGTTCGTTGCGAGATCGACGAGTCGACGTAATCGAGCGCTTTTGTCCGGAAAAACATTCGCGACTTCCTCCGAGGATTAAGATGACCAATTTTGTATAGGTCTCAATTCTTGAGACACAGACAAGTGTCTTATCAGACTTGAACACACACGAAAAGAAAAGATAACAATTATATAGTAATACTTGCAACATACATATCTAATAATATTATAATAATAAAAGCAACATATATATATANATATATATATATATATATATATATATATATATATATGTATCAATATTTCTTAGAGAATTAAATTAATAAATTAATAAATATATTATCTATAAAAGACTGCAAATAAAAAATATTTCAACATCATTTCAAGTCGGACCCTAACTAAAACTGTTTTACAGTCTCTATTTTGTATATTCGAAGTCAATCGTTTTTTGAAACAAATTGCACAAATTGTACAGATAAAAGCGCACGACATTTCCTAACAATTTGAATTCGTTTATGTTTATTTATGCCGTATTGCGTATAACCTACATTTCGGAATTTTGATTTCGACAATCGTCGGTTTACAGGATTGCAGTAATTTTTAAGTAGTTTTTGTTGCACGAAACACTGATAAAAATTTCTCGAGAGGATTAAATACCACGTAATGCGTCCACGTCAGGACCTCACCCGCCGCGTTTCCATTAACATTTTACAATCGTCACGCATTATACAATGAGCCATGGCTTACATCATCATCATCGCGCGCCGCGAACAAATACAAGGCTGTGTCACCTCGCAGCCGCTTTTAGCCTCTTGTCTCTCGCTTCATCTTCGTGTATCCATCACATATCGTCGCATTGTCCGTTATTCATAATCGCTTCTGAAGCCACGGCTGTTTAATTTAAATTGACGATTACGCGAGAACGTCGCGTGACGTGCCGCGCGCGCTTTCGCAAGCGTGTCCGTGTCCGCGTTGCGAACCGCAGAAGAGTTTCGGATTTCGAAAAGGAAAAGAATAGAAGTCTTTTTGTAATTCGTCTCGCGGAGAGGAGGTCGTGAACCACTCTGAATTGTTGCAGCATACCGCTAATATCTTGGTAGAAAAAAACGGATTCAAGGGCAGGAATTTAACACAGCACGTGAATAAAATGTTTGTTTTTTTTTTAAGAATATATTTGAATTTCTCTTTTTATAGTCTTGAAATTTTGCATCCAGATTAACGGATTTAAGTCATTAAGTTAATGAATTTTTAGTGGATTGCAGAGTAAAAATAATATTAAAAACAACTTTTATAATCATTTTGAAAAAATTAATCAAATTTAATTTTCGCACACACAGACTTTTTAGAATAATTACATATAAAATCCAAATTCGATTCATTAATTAAACAACTTGAAGATTCGAGGCGGATGTAATTTTACTAATTTTCAATATATGTCTGTATATACGACAAGCGGACAGAATATTTACCGTCACTTAACGCCCGGCAAAATCTCTGCGTCCAGCTAATATTTCCTTCTCAAGGATATCCGCTTTAAATAAGCAAAGTTCGTTCAATGACAGTTTATTCCGGTCTAATCCGGAAATCAAACGATTGAAGGAAATGAGGAAATTGAGTTTCCGTCAATTCGTTAAAACGGAGAAAACAACATCCGGTATTAGTTTTTTTTTTTTTTTACAAAATCTAAAGCATCTTAAAGCACATCAAAACTCGGGATTTATCAAATATGTAAATGTACGTACGTATAATGTAAACAAAAACAAAAACCAAACAAATCTAATCTCTTATTTATTCGATACATCTTCCACACTTTTATTTTCTTGCTTCTTCCTGCACTGTGGGAACAATCTTTTTAGAACTTTTGTTATGTGTTTCCGGCTTATAGGCGCTGACAAAGGGTGACAAGGGTTGCGAGGCGTTGTTGCGGGCTCACCTTCGTCTAGAAGGCACAGGCGCGGCGAGCAACGCGGTAGGCGTAGTCGAAGCACCTGGTGGTCGGCGCTATCTCCTTCTGGAGGGTCACCATGGCGACCTGCACGCCTACGTAAGGGCGCGCAGGAGGCTGCGTGAACCCGAAGCGAGGCGGTTGTTTAGACAAGCGGCCAAGGCTGTGGCGACTTGTCACGATTACGGGGTCGTGCTTAGAGATCTCAAGCTCCGGAAGTTTGTCTTCGCCGATGAAGCGAGGTAAGAATTTGCTTAAGCACGCGTGTATTCCCCGTTGTCTCGCTACGGAAATAATTGATTTATACGATACGCGGACTAACAAGATTTTCCACTTAAGCTTCTCGCGTTTCAAACTGAAAGCTGATAAATGACACACACCATTCGGATCGAAGGTATCAGTGTTGAGTTTGCGTTCGCTTTTCCGAGTGAAGGGGAAATCGATTGCTGTGGGTGTGTTTTCCGCGAGTGTTGTGTGACCTCCCTGTTCTCGGTACTGGAAAGAAATGCGAATGAGTACGGAGGTGAAACGAAACGAAATGAATATAAAAACCCCGATTCTCGTCGCGGATTCGCGCTCTCTCGCTCGAGGAATCGCGAAAGTGCGTCTCTCGACAACGTGTGCGCACGTGGATGAGTTCTTGAACTCATTTCAGATAAAAACACACACTTGCGCGAGAAGTATATTCATTGATTGGCGCTAAATCGTTTCGTGAAACGGGAAGAAAGTTTCTCCCTTATATTTGTGTCATTTTACCTCAGCAACCGACTGACTGCTGCACCACGGAACTTTCTTTTCGATATGTTTCGTTGAAATAAATTCCGTTGTTTTTAAGAAATTTATTCCGATTTCGTTGTAAAATACTTTACAATGAATTTTAATCTTAGTTTATAACTGAGGGATCTTTTATTGCATCAGATAAATGTAAAAATTATTAAATGAAATCATGTATGGTAAAATTATCAGAAAAAATAAATTGTTAAGTGCGGAATAAGTTTCGCGAGATTCAGTACGAGTTTCATTCACACACTTTATAGGAATTATTATTATTTTCTCTAGTCGCAAATGATTTAACGTAAACAATTTATGATCGCTTCTAGAAAATATCTGTCTAGACCAGAGATATGAATTTTCTTCTCTCATTCGATTGAAACAGTAAGTGATTATTTAACAACTGGAAGTCTGTGGCAATAACGAGCACAGTCAATTATAAATTTTCAACAAATTACGGTTATTATATTTTCACTTTCGCGGTTTTATATGTATATTGTTCGAATTGGATTTCAATGGACCGCGTCGAGTTCGTGATTTAGGGTGTGTTTACGGGGCCTGTTTCGTGTGCTGAGCATTATCTCGGCGTGACTATATACCTACTCGCGATACGACGCACCCACGTGTCGCTACAGGATGCAGACATGTACAAAGCAACACACAACCCAAGCCGAGCCGAGCCAAGCCAAACGGGCGTGTGTGTCGTGCGCGGCGGCGATCGGGAGATCGACTCGCATGTCGGTCCGTTGTGTTGGCCAATCGCGCATTCCTGCCGCTCGGCGAGCTCTGCTGCTCCCGCGCGCACGTAGAATAAGGAGAGTCCGGGGAATGTTGCAAGCCAGAAAAGCATATTGGTTCATCGGCTGCTGCGGCGCGGAGTTTTGAAACGTCGGTATAATTAGGAAACGCGTGCTTCATTCGTTTCACCGGCGCGGCACCGGCCGACGAGTCCACAGAGAAGAGGTTGTTGCATCTTCCTCCTCCCTTTCTCCACCTCCGTTTCCTCATCTTCCCAGAATAATCGCGGGGCGCGCGCGCACACGAGACGCATAGTCCAATTACACGCGTCTCTTTACTCGTCGATAAAATTATTTTATAATTCAAAGTTTTAACGCGTGTTTCCAAATGTTTCTTTGTTTATACATATAATTGACTATTGATAAATTATCAGTGATAGAGATTTTATATTTAATATATTTCAAAACAATTGTTTTTTTTTTTTTTTTTATATATTTGCAAAATATTTGAACGCGCGTACATCTGTGTTGAAGAATTCACGTAAAACACTACTTTCTTTCTCGGAATTCTCGAATTAGTTTCTCTTTCTTCTAACGGTCTTTCTTCTGTGAATTAAAGCGATCACACAAATCAGTCTTTTCCCGGATGCTTCGCGCATGATGTTCGAACTATGCTAATTGCTGTGTGTGTATGTGTGTGCGTGCGTGCGTGTCTCTTAGCAGAAACGCACACATCTCGTCGGTGTCGTCGAGTATAGCGTAAGTAGTATAGCGTCAGTTTCTCGCGTTCTCGGTGAAAAGCATAATTTGGTCTCGTGACCGGATTTCTCTCCGCCACGCGCACGTTTCGCAACACGTTGGCGGCGCAGCGTTGGTCCGGTTCAACGCCGAATTCAATCAGAGAATCGTTATTCGCGAGGTTAATGATCCTCGCTAGTAAATCGTCGACCTCGTTCGATTCCTCGCATGTGCGTGCGCGCGCGCGCGCGCGTGCGAAAGAGACTCTCGAAACTGTACATTCGGGGACGTTGACCTGAATTTTGCGCGCGTACGTATCCGTAATCCGTTTAAAAAATCGGAAGCAAAAAAGCAAACTTCACTTGTGGATTTGAATAATTTCGAATTGTGTTGAACATTTTGTTTTAGTAACGCGAGTTATGAAGCGGCATTTAAAACACGCGCAAGAAAACAAAGTTTTTTTTTGCTCGAAAAACATTTTCTATTATATCGTTGCATCAGGATGTAGTAATCTTTTTAAATTCTATTTGTGACCGTTTAATTCCGGATTTTCTTTGTTTTCCCGCGAAAGATGAAGAAATCTCAAAGTCCCTCTCGATTTCCCGAGATTATATCTTTATATTTAACTGGCTGTGATTAATGACAGCTGTCATTAGTAGGGTCTCCGCGCTCCTTCTTTACCCGCGTTGTCTCAATTGCGCAATTACAATAATCAAAAGCGAGAGAAACGGGAGTTTGGTGGCCAGTCGGTGAGCATCGCGTTTGGAGAAGACGACGGAATAGCGTTTCGCGCGTCCCTCGCGAGACGTTTCATGGATTTCACAAGCTGTCTGGGAGGGAAATCAACGTCGTGTCTAGAATCCGACGCGCTAACATCCGCGCCGAGGGGTTCTTGAACCCGGAGCGATATCGCCAGCGAACGGTGAAAGTTTTGCGAAGAAAGCTGCGGCGGCCTCTCTCTTTCTCTCGCTCCCCGCGTTCGGTTCATCGTCAAACGGTCTGACCGTATCATCGCGTTTCTTCGATTCATTTGCTCGCGAGAGAGAGAGAGAGAGAGGCCATTGACACTCGTTCGGATTGTCAAGATCGTGTAACGACTCTCGCGTGACGCGTGTCTCACCGAGAAGTGGTGGCGCTCGATGATTCGTTAACTCTGAAACGCGCGCCGATAACAAATCTCAAAGTGACAAACGCGGCTAAAAAATTTCTTAAAAACGTTACTTCCTAATACAAAAATAAATATCATTGTTTGTGTTATAATGTGTCGTATAATTAGAAAAACTTGCTGCAAAATTAATTAATAGAAATAAATATCTTTCCGTTTTTAGAAAAATTTTTAAATTTCTACAGAAATTTGCGATAAGAAATTTAGAAACATTAACAATGGTTTTACCAGTTCAAATTCGATTTTCTGAGAAGTACATTTTTGATATTTAAAATTTGTTTTGTTTTTATAAAAAAATTATTCAATATTATATCTTTTTTAATTATAATTAAACATAATTATTTTAATCATGTAATTTATAAATAATATTTATAATATATTATAATTATAATGTTGTAATTAAAAAAATAAATTTATTAATAAGGAACGTATTTTCTGATTTTGAAGTGTGTAACGCTTTCTCGAGCAAGCTACGCCATTGCGCCTTCGGCCGAACGTCGTGGGCGAGAACTCGCACCGTAGGAGAGTTCCAAAGTTACCCAAGAGCCAAGAATATTACGTACACGCGCGTACTTCCGCGTTGTGTGTGCAGGTTGATCAACGCGGCGAAGTCGCGATCGGCCAGCAACAATCTCCTCTTTCTCGCGTTCCGCCGTCGTTGCGCCTTATTCCACGCTACCGACGACGACTGCTGAGAAATGGCCGCGATGGCTCAATCACGGTGTCCTCTTGCTAAATTGAAATACCTCGCCTTCGGGCGCGCACGTAAAAGGTTGCACGGAGATCTCCCCGTCTTTACTTCGCAAACTCGCAGCCGCGGAGATCATAGCCGGTCGATAATAAATGCAGGGCTTGGCGCAACGCGTGCTTGAGACACGTGGAACAAATTTCACACAACTGCAAGAAAAAGATCGTAAAAGTTTTACAATTAGTGAGATTTAGTACCTCATTTTTTTTAGCTTTTCAAAGCTCGATTTTTAATCTTATTCACGGTGTTCCAAGTGTCATTTATCACGCTCAATAGATTTTAACTAATTATTTAAAATGATGTGTGTGTATTAAAAGTAAATTAAAAAGCTATGCAAATTTTAAAGTTACTAAAAAAAACAAAGTAGTTATTTAGAGACTCAGTCATTTTTAAACCGCTGTAAAAATAATCGAATTTCCGCAAATTTCTCTTTATTAAAATCTATTGTTTATTTTTTTTTTTTCCAGAACGCGACTTCGCTTAGAGAGTCTCGAGGATGCGGTGATCGTGGAGAACGATGACGACGAACTGACCGATCGGCGAGGCTGTCCCGCGTATGTCGCGCCGGAAGTGCTCCGCGCCGGACGCGCCTATTCCGGCAAGGCGGCGGACATCTGGTCGCTGGGCGTGCTGCTTTACACGATGCTGGTCGGCCGTTATCCGTTCAACGACGCTCAGCACGCGTCCCTCTTCGCAAAAATCTCGCGCGGCCAGTTTGCCGTGCCGGAGGGTTTGAGTCCGCGCGCCAAGTGCCTGATCCGCTCGCTTCTGCGAAAGGAGCCGTCCGAGCGACCGTACGCCGAGGACGTGCAGCTGCATCCGTGGTTATCGAAACCGCTGCGGCTATGCACAACGTTTGGCAGCAGGTCCTCGTGTCAGGACCAACTCGTACCAGAGCTACCTACCAATCCTCAACAAGACTGACTCTCCTCTGAGAAAAAAATCATTATTCCGCGCGCAATAGCGTTACTCTCGCATCCTAGTGCTTCTCTCGTGCCGACTGCCGGATCGAGTTCTGCCGAGAGGAGAGAATTAGCGCAATCAAAAGAAGAAGGACAAAAAAGTGGCAAAAAAAATATCTTTTAACATATTGGCCGTATTTGTAAATACAAGTACAACAAATTCGGAGAAGTAGAAAAAATGTCACGGATATGTTACTTAAATTTTAATATCTTCTCTCTTCTTAAGGAAAAAAAAGAAAGAAAGAATACATATATTTAAAAATTAATATATTTAAAAATTAATATATTTAAAAATTAAATAAAACTTTTTTTTTTAATGACAATGTTTTTAAAGTAAAATATATATTTTTTGTCCTTGGAAAAAATCAGAAAAATGTATAATGCAGACAGTGGCAGCTGAATCATCGCACTTTATTCGAGATCCGTTCGAGTCGCGCAGTTTCTCATTTGGAAATCGAGAATGACTCGATTCATGATTTTTCTTCGCGAGACGCAAACTACGAATGCTTAATTTTCTTCTTCTCGCTGGCAAGGAGCGGCCTAGAATAAGCTTTTTCGAAGATAGAGCGTATCAACATCGGATGGGAGTAATCATTCTCAATGGAATTTTTATGTAAGGGAGAATAACCAAAGTCCATCTCTCCTAAAAAAAAACAAAACAAAAAACGCCCGATTTATTTCTTCTATTCGGCGTCGCGACTTGAAGTTGAAATGATTGAAGCTGGAATCTTGGATATAAGATGGAATACTACACATCGTTTCATGATAAACTCATTCTAGTCTTGAGTCAACTCGAGGGTTTGAACGCCGAACGGCGAAAATAATTTAACAGGTACTGTAAAATAGCATCTCTGATTTTGGTCATTCTCTCTGCTAAACAATTTCGGAGGCAACGTGACTCAAGTGATTACAAACGTTTCTATCGGTTAATAGAAAGTTAGATTCGAAATGTGAAAAACATTGTTACTGGTTAAAAAAAAAAAAAAAAAAAAAGAGTTAATCCTCTTGTTGTTTACAAATACATTCGCGCGCGTGCGAATCCAATGTGATGGAATCTTTGAAGATTCTAAAGCGACGTATGTGATAAACGAAACACGCAAATTGTTTCACAAGCGAGCGGTTACTTGCAGTCATCTCTGTCTCTGAAGTTCGTGTACATTAATTATTATTGTCGTTGAAACGAATCGAATTCGATGTTTGTATTGTACGTTAGCTACACCTCCTCGACTTTTCTTAAATATACTTGGCGTCGCGCATCTACAAAACACAGAATGGTTTTTACAATTTACTGGTTGACCTATGTGTATGTGTGTGTGTGTATGTGTATGTGTGTGTATGTACTTATTTATACACACACATACGAACAAACAGTCGTAAATTCGATGCGAGAGAACACAAAAAACGTGATGTAAATTTTAATAGAACCAGTGAGCTTTGTATAGCGTGCTATTATAGTATAAAACGATGAGAAATGGGGAATCAGAGATTGAATCGGATTCAATCTAAAAACTCTCACACACACGTTAAAAAAAACACGAGCAAACAAACTGATAATCAGTAATAATAGCTTAAAATAACGAGAGCAAAAATAACGAGAAAAAATAACGAGAGTTGCAAGTCTAACGAAGTTTTCTTCTAACATAAAAAAAAATCCGATTCATTCTTTCCGCGCACCCGTTCACATGTCGTCATTATTATATCACAGAGTCAATCAAATCTTTATTAGGACATCGAAAAGAAAACGGATGTTTCTCGTTAAAAATGCGATAGAAGTAAAAAAAAAAAAAAAGCTCCGTTTCTCTGACCTAAAAACGTTGCCTACAAAGACTGCTTGGACATGTGGCCTAAATACAATTTATCTTTATTAGAAAAAAAAAAAAAAAAACCGCAAATACACAATACCGTTGAGCAAAGAATTTCTCTAACTCTATGTAAGAACAATAAAAGTATACGCTTCTGGATCGCTCAAACGTCGAGTATCCATGAATCTATAAATGTGTTCATCAAAGGCAATGTTTTAAGGTAGAGTATTCTTACAAATCGAAGAGACACATGAATTACTTCCTTTCTGATTCGAAGACCTTTCAAGTTTATTGCTTGCGCGATACAAGTATATATTATATATATATACGATGCAACTCAGTGTCAAGTTGAGATCCAATTTCAGGAAAGAAAAAACGAAGGAAGCGAACGATCGACGATTTTGCATCAAATCAAATATTCTTGTTGTTTATAGAAGCTTTTTCGGTTTTTTGACATCAGACATACACAATGGAGAAAACGCGAGAGAGAACGTCAAGGTTGTCGATCGGGATCGCGACTCGATCCTCAATTCGTTTCCCCTTCATGTTCGACGAAAGTATAAAAAAAAAAAACCAAAAAAACCAAAAAAAAAAAAAAAAAAAAANAAAAAAAAAAAAAAAAAAAAACCATGTGTTCTTATATTTAAAACACCTACCACCTATCTGCATACCGATACCGATCTACCTATTGCGCGAACTCTTTTGTAACTTCTGCGAGATATAAAAGTAAGAGCGAGAGAGAAAAACCTTTTTTCCTTTTTTATTATATACATACATAAAATTCGCGCACGGCATTCGATCCCAGCGCGACTCTACGATTCCTCCTTTCGTATCACATTCATTCAGGGTACAAATGCGGCGAGAGCGTCCACTTCCGACGTTAAATTGTACATAGGTTTGAGTAAGTCCTACGCATACACATTAAAAAAACAAAAAAAAAATTCATTTATCCAAGAGAGCGATTGAGGAAAAAATCCACATTCATTTCTGTACATATACATACTTATATAGGCAAAATAAAATGGCGTTCATGATATAAAGAATGCGGTGTGTGTGTTTTAATTTCTGCGTCGATCAATGCACTTGTTTTTTTTTAAATTTTATTTCGAATTTTCAATTTTTTGTTTTCTGGAACAAGAAACAAAGAGTGCGTTCCGATATTCACAGTCGAGTAAACTGAAAACCTGTAACGTTAAACGTATAGATTTTCGGTATCGGCAATGAATATCGGAAAATGATGCAGCTGTATAAAATACCACCGCTATCATGACGCGCATGCGTGCAGCGCTTTACGTTTCGTCGATACGACAGATTTGTAGTTTTCGATTTCTCACATATTTCCGTATCTTTCGCGTGAAGGCGTTTCATGTGAATTCTATTTTTTTTTTTTTACATCGCGATTTAAGTCCATTCACTTCTTGAGAGACTTATCGTTGAAATTCGATTACAATAGCTCAGAATCGGTTTTAGAGTCGGACGACCTATAACTGCGTGTTAATCCGGTACTGAAAATTTGTTACGCTTTTAAAAGGATTTGCGATATCTACGTCACCCACCTTGGAGTTACGATGATGTCAGACGTGTGGAAAATTACGTAAACAATGCCGCGCACCTTGTGTAACGAGCGATGAAGAAATCGGCTCGGAAATCTTTCGTTTTTTTTTTTTTTTTTTTAGCGCTATTATCATCAATCGGTCTTACATAAGAAAAAATACGTCGATCGTTGAAACTTTTTTAAATTGTTGAAGGTTAGACACACACACGTGCAAGACGCGCGAAGAAGAGTTTTGAGAGAAAGATTTACTTTTCTCGAAATTCGGAACTTTCGATTTTTGCGAAAATAGATTTTAAGAATTTCGCATGGTTCGGGGAGCGGGATCGCGCGTGCACAGTATTGCGCGCGAATACAAATCCGCTCAAGAACACTGCGTGCAACAACGGATCCGTAAATACGTGCGATTACTCAGAACGCGACTTACGCGACGAAGACGTCGCTGGTGCAGCGTCCAAATGAAAAATGGCCGCAAACGTGAGAACAGGTGAGTGGCAACGTAAGGATTCGTTTGGAATTTGTCGCGTGGAATTTTCGCGTGTGTGAATTGTCGTGCGAAGGTGATCGGATGTGTCTCTTCGCTCTGCGAGGCGAGAGCGAGACGTTCCGCGCTGCGCGCACCCGTCGTTCTCGCTCACAGTTTTCCCGATAACGCTTCTGTCATATAACGCTCGTCTCTCTCGCCTCTTTCGCGATTCGCCGAATTTTTCTGCGGATTATCAACGGGACGAGATAAAATACGGTGCGATATCCCTCCCTGTTATCGTCGCGATATCCCACAACGAGTGGGCGTTATATCGCGCGGCGACGTCGGTCGATGTGACGCGAATCGGGCCAACGTTTTATAACAGACGACACATTTAGTTCTCGCGTCTCACTCGCAGCGTGCAATTTGTTTTGAAGAATTTTTCACAGTTATCTCTGACGTCGTACGTTGTGTGCGTGCGAGCCTGGTGTATGTGTGTTTGCGCGCGCGTGAGAATACGTGTGTACCAGCGTGTACGAGGAACGATCACACACATATATATATATATAATACATCGAGTCATCACGGCCTGCGTTGATTGATTTTGTTGTCTGTCACATTGTTCTCAGAAATGCGAGTACCAACGCGCGCTGCACCTCGTCCACCTGGCCAAAATGCGACGCGAAGAGATCCGGTTTGGGGCAGCAGGTGCGTTTTCCTTATCTCTTTATCTGTAATTATGCAAGTTTCCAAGTAAAATTAATTGACTGTCTTGTTCTTTTCTTTGGAATTACAATGTGGTTTTTTTTTTTTTACGCTTCCAGTAATGACATATTCGGAGGTGCCCTGACCTCGCAATCTGTGCAAAAGAAAAAGCCACCTCCTCGGCCACCACCTCCAAAATTTAATCAGAATCATTTACATCATCAGAAGGACCAAAAGCCGAGAAAGCCAGTAAGAATCTTTGAAGAAGTTGATTTATGACTGTATTTGGTTTCTTTGATTGTGCAGAATATTGCTTTCACAAAGACATAGATCTGAGAAAGATACTTTATTTTTTTATATTAAACAAATATGTGTCTTATAAAAGAAATAGAACAATGTTAAGAATAAAAAATACATCCTTTGTGCATGTGTACAGTATGTGATAGTTGTTTTAAGTAAGAGAAAAACTTTATATATCAGAAATTATGTCATTTTGTATTATGATTTAAATTATGTCTGCAATTGCAATATGTGTGTGTAAAGTAGCAATTGATTTTTGTCAAATCATGTTTTTAAACAAAATAAATGTATAATTTTTGCACAGGCCAGGCCAACAGAGCTATTGACCAATTTCTTTGGACGAAAAAAGCAAGAGAACGTTCTTCCGTCACGTTCTATCAACCAGTTAGCAAATCCGATATCGCAATCCACAAACTCAATTGCGACTGTGTCTCTGATAGATCTCAGTCCACCCGGATCTCCAACGTTTACAACTCGTTCCAGCAGCGATGGTGTCAGCGTCGACAGTTTCGGGAGTGACGGTAACTCCAATCCATCTGCGTTCACGAGTAGTGGGAACACATCTCAAACAGAAAGTGCCTTCGAAGATGATTTTGACTTTTTTGGCATGTCAGCCAAAAAGATAGTGCAAAACGATCCGTGGCAAACCAAGACAACAGTACAGGATCCGTTTGGTCCTCTTGAAGACACATGTTCAAACGTGTCTCAGAGCACTGGCGGATCATATCTCTTTTCTCTCAACTCGATCAGTCGTGAAGCGAATCAAGTGCCTTCCAATTTGATTACAACCAAATCTCTCGTCACGTCGATGCCGACGATAATTCGAGCGAGACCTCCCAAACCTCCAGCACCAAAGTTATCTGTAAAAAAACTCGAACCGATAGCTAAGCAAGCATGCAATGACTTTGAAGTCTCGAATAGCAATAATAAAACAAGTAAATCGTTAACGTTGGATTTCTCCAACGCATGGTCCAATGACTACGAAGAAAGTGATAGTCCGTCGCCACCTATGCCGACGATTCCTCCGCCAGCACCGCCCGCGGATTACTTAGCGGAACTTACCAGCGATCTGGATGTGAGTAAATAGAAACTACTAAAAGTAGTTTCTACCATGTATTGTGAAAGAATAATTTATGCGCGTTATGTTAACGACATGTAAAAATACACAGGTGAATAATATTAATTTACAGAGAGATCTAGATAAACCTCACGGTATTGCGCTATACGATTTTCCGGCAACACACTCGGATGACTTAACTCTGAAGGAGGGCGACGTTGTGGAATTGATAAGGAAAGTTAACGACGACTGGTTAGAGGGAAGAATAGGAAATCGTCAAGGAATATTCCCGCATAGTTTCATTGATATTAAAGTACCTTTGCCGGGTTTACCGGACAATATAGTTACAGCGTTATATGCTTTCCCAGGAGAGACCAATGAGGACTTGTCGTTTGAAGTAAGTTTATAAGTAAATTAAATGGAGAAAAAAGAGTATCTGCTACATATATGTGTGTCTAATATTTCTAATATTTTACAGGAAGGTGCAAAAATAACAGTTATATCGAGGATATCAAAAGATTGGTTGTACGGTGAGTACAACGGTAGAAAAGGGCAATTCCCGGCAAATTATGTAAACAGACTTCCGCGTAATATCTAATAATAAACGTATTTCTTCTCGTGTGAATATTTTATATAAACCATTTAACAAGTTCACTATATCTCATAAGCCTTCATTATTGCAAACATTATTTAGGATCTTCATTCACACACTAAGAATTAAAAAATGATGATCTAAAAAAAGTATAAAAATTTCTTATGATGAAAATTTGGTCATGTACAAATTGCAACTGAAAAAAAGATATGCCAATTTTAGAAAATTTTATGAACGCAAAAGACTGAATTACATACGATTTTTTATCGTCGTGTTCCAATAAAAATGATCTTTGGATGTTGCGATATTATCTCTAGAATTAGGCGATAACATCTGCGATATATCGGGGTGATATCTACAATCTACACTTAGCTTAAAACGCGTTTAAAAACTTGCACCCTCCTCCCTTTGTACTGTTTGCAATATTTTTTTAAAAAAACACTCTATTAAAAAGAGTGATGCAAAACATATATATGTATAAATTTTCTTTCTTTTTGTTAGCTTAAAACCTTATACTTCGCATAGGTAAGAGATTTACTTTTTACTAATCACCTTTTGCATATGCTTTAGTTTTTTAATTGTTTTCGAAGAAAGGAAAAAGAAGGTACAGAGACATCTCTAAATTTTATTTTATTTTATTTTGTTTTTGAATCAGTTTATCATGTGATGTAAGTTTTATGTAATATATATGTGTTTCATTTGTGTGAAGTTATATTTAATTAATTATAGTTTTGTGTAAATGTCGTAAAATCTATATTTTACAAATCGTCTATATTTTACAAATTTTTATTTATGAGGATAAAAATAATCTTTGAAAATATATTTAAAATTATATTTTCTTAAATGCAAAGAGAAATAATTGATTATGAAGTGGAACCTGCTTGTTACTTCAAAATCATCAAGTGAATTATCAAGAAATAATTATATAAAACTTATAACAAATTACATTGCTCTATAATCATATCCATAATTTAGAGATGATTTACATATCTACAATTTATTTCAGGTAATTTATATGTAAACATTGGGTTTTACAAATGATTACTTGTTATATTTATAGAGTTTAACATTTACGCGAATGTATAAAACAAAATCACAACATAACATATAAACTTTTGTTAGCTCGTCGATTTGAAATTAAAATAGACCGTAATCTCGAAAAAATCAGTCATTTTGTAACTCCTCGTTTATATATCTTTGTTAGTATTTTGATATACCAAACTTGATAGTACATCTTTCCTATTTGTACACTATATAAAAAAATTAATTAATGCATATGTAAAGTAAGTGTTCCATTTAAAAATAAATTGTAACTCAAGAACAGTTATCTCATATACATATAACATGATGTATTATATATATATGTATATTTTGTCTAATTTAGAATTATTTCACAGTAAAACAGTTACCAGCATAATGATGGTACATAATATTTGCGAATGTGCATAATATGAAGGGAAGAAGAGAGAAAAAGAAAATATAAATAATTCTTTATTTAATATCTGTGTTTACAAAAGTTATAAGTAGTTTTGTATATGTGTATATTTAATTACAGCTACATGTGCGATTTATGCGTAACCATGCTTGATAAAATTAATTTGGTATGCATGTGTATGTTCAAAAATGTATTTGAACGTTTCAACACATGCATAAATTTTTCCTCAGTCACTAGATAACAAAAATGAAAATTTATCGATTACCTATCGTATTTTACCTATCGTTTTAAGTTATTTTGTATTAATGTTGAATGTGTATAGTTTTATATATACACACACATACATTGTGTGTGTACATTGTATATATATAAAGTACACACATACATATATGTATACTTTTATAAAATAGTTCACCCGAAAAAAAATTCTCATTAGAATTAACAGTATTAACTGGTGTACGATATAGTGATATTCCAGTTACATCGAAGGTCTACATTGGGACCAGGATCTTAGTTGATAGGATTAGAAAAGGCGAGTGATAATAGGAAAAAATTGAAAGTTATATCGAAAATTGTATGTAATAACGAAACGTTTAGACGTAATTAAATCACTAGTTAATTCTTCAAAACTAAGCTGTTTTACAGAAAACGCCTAATATGCGATGTGATATTTTGCAATGTTTAATGTGTAAACACACACAACACAACACACATATACATACACACACACAAACACACATATTTCATGTGTATACAAAATAAATCTAAACAAAAAATAAATAGAATTTTCTGTATCTAAAAATTGTTTTCGGCAATCAATTAAAAGGCAATTTATAAACCTGTGTATAAAAACATTTCTATAAAAAAAAAAGTGTCTTTTCTAATCCACTTTGTTATTATAATTAAGTAACATTATCATTTCTTTCGTCGACATTATTTCTTGTAATATTATTGTCAATAAATTCTTTATTTCGCAAGATGGTTCTTGCCAACAATACACCGAAAGAGCGTATTACTGCCAAATGTTTATGACAATTACTGCAATTTAAGATATCCTTGTGACACAATAAATATGAATTCGCGAAATTTTTCAACGCCCGCGTTACAACTCTTCTAAACTTTTTCCCCGTGAGACAGTATAGAAAAAAGTTTATTGCAAAATTCCAATGATATATATGAAAGAACAAGCCACGACACCATTTTAGAAACATTTTTTCTTGCATCCTGAAAAAAAAAATAATGCTTCTTTAAAATACATATTTTTACACTTTACAACATATGTGTATACGTAATGTTATTTATTGTGTATAATTTGTATTCTCTTTTTGTATAATATCTTTTACCAATGTATATATTGTTTATTTTCTTCTCCAGCGGGATAACTGATTAAGATGACGTCCCAATAAAGTCCCAATGTTTCAACTATTCCGAGCGGCAACATTAAAATCAAATGTACTATAGATACCGCAAGCAACGTCCTGCTTGAGCTGTGTGGTTTTTTCCTTTTATATCTAAAATTATCTAAGAGACGCAAAATTAACAATTACATATGTGTTATACTCTGTTAAAGAGAGAAAGAGAATATATCTCGTAAAAAATGATGACTTACGAGTTAATTCGTTGTGGATTTTGTACGATTTTCTCATGCGAATAATCAGCAGCACGTTGCCGATGGATATAAAAAGCAACGGAAGCCATGTAGACAATGCGATATAAAAGTACATTGCACTACCCCACGGCTTTATCTTCTCTTGACACGGCACAAATTCGAAAACGCTGTCAGTTTCGTATCCTACAATCGGCATATTCTATGTATATTTGAATAACAAATTTATATATATATATAACGAGAAACATACGATACGCAAAACGAGAGATATACACTTTACCGCCAGAATATAACTTGGTTAATGATATTGTAAAGCTTATGCATGCTAAAGTGATGATTATGACCGCGGAGCAATTCTGACATCCACGAGCGCCAAATGGAAACACTATAGCGATCACGCGCGTCCACGTGAGGGCGACGATCAGCCAGGTCGATGTAAATTGAAAAAGTTCCATGCACACGGAACTCATGCCGCACAAGAACTTGTTGTTCTGCAGCAATGTCATTGTTAGAGCAAGTAGTTTATATTACAATCAAAGTTAATAAAAATTATATTATCCTTGGATATATAAATGTGTGTAACAGGAAAGTTTTCTGTAGGGAAGTAGGAAGGATTAGCACGTAGAGTATTGATTGACGCGCAAAATTGTGATTGCACACTCGATATTTACCATAAAGAGATCGTTAACAAATGTGGAGTGCGATTTTGCGACGCTGACTGCATAATTGAAAATTAACGCTCCGTTGTCCGATATAGCGAGCGCGCTCAGATAAAGCGACAAATTGGAGTCACACAGAACAGGTGTGCTCAACATACTAAAAGATACAGTATTTAGCAATACACCTGTGCGAAGTGGGTTAACAACGTTGTATGAAAAAAACATATCAAAAAATCACACCGTGCGCAATGACATTTCTTACCGAGCGCTATGATAAACGGCGTCACGTAGCGGAGCAAGAAACGTACGAATTTGACGAACGGTTGCAATGACAACCAGTAAGATCGCACCTCGCAGGGCCATTTGTTCTCCAATTCCGGTTGAGTGGAATTGTGAATGAAATCTAAGACTGTTACGGGAGGACATTTCGTTCTAAAATTTCACAAGAGATACACATCTGTGTGTAATTTGAATGCGATTATTTTTTTCACACGAAATGAAAGAGAAAACAAATTGCATTTTGACGCAGCAAGTCGTAATATGGTTTTTTTTTTCTTACCTGGACGTGCTTGTCGGGAAAATTACGTTTGAATTCACCGGTTGCGACAACATAATCGCGACGAGTATCAACGCTCGGATGTTTCTATCACGCAGCAAAATCATTTTGCGCGACTAAATAAAGGAACTTTGTAAATTTGAGTGCAGTCTGTTACTACGTCTGAAGAAGAATTATCTCTGCTCCGTAGCACAGATACATGATCAACAATGGGGGCTTCCTTCATAATTAGAAGCTGCGAAGCATCTGTTGTCGATTATCATAACATGACGTAGCGTTCTAATTAACATTTTATTTGTATTACTTATACATTGCGGTAGGAGTGCATTAACACCAAATGACATGATACCGGGGGATAGCGATATGATTACAAATGAGAACACTACGCTTTATTAGACTAGATTTGTTCTCTCATTTATATTAGATCTTTTATTACATTAGATTTATTTGTATATTGTGTTTGGAAAATGAGAGAGAGAGAGAGAGAAAAAAAAAAGAAAAAGAGAGAACACAACTAAAATTGTGCTAAAACATTTGTTTTTTTTTTAAGTAGGAATGAAAAGAACTTAAGAAAATATTTGAAGAGGCTCTATCGTACAATTGCAAAACTTTATTTTTTCTTTTTTACCTTGAAAACTATATAACACGGTTACAATAAATTTACATGACTAACAAAAAAGATATGCGCGAAAGATAGCAGAAAATTAGTCGTCGTCATATAATAAACACAGTAGCGGTATATTGACCGTTAATTAAAAGCTTGAAACAGTATATTTACGTATATACATATACATATATATATATTTTTCATATTTGTTGCATTGTTGTCTTGCATCAATGTTACAATTCTTTAAGACTTCTATCCATCGCAAATTGATGATATGCTATTTCGATTCAATTGTGTAATCTTGTGCACCGGTTTTGCGAGTATTTATTATATATTATTACTTTTGTTTACTGCGTAATATATATAGCATATATATATATATATGTATATATATTTATATGTATGTAGAGGAACCACTCTCATTCTATACAAATATAATTTTTTAACATGTATATTATTAACATATAATATATATTTACATTTATATGATTCACACAAATTCACGAGTGAAAGGCACATGTTAAAACCACGACAGCTTTGATAATAAATTTCGCTATTTTCAATCATTCTCGGCCGCGCGCGCTAAGAATGCCTTACAACTATATAGTATATAATTCTCCTATCGGCTTTTAAAATGTAAATAAATGCTTTGGCAAGTTACACATCTAAATATAACATAATGTACAGTTTAATATATGTGTGTGCATGTGTGATATGTTCTATATATATATATAAATTTTTTTCTGTTGATTGATTCGACGTTACAATATTTTTTGCGTGCGATGTATATTTACACCAGAAAAAAATATTCAATTTTTGTAACATACATAAATTTATAGAATTTGTTTAACATGTCCGGCATCAAGTCGCGTGAATTCTCTTTTTTAATTGTCGATATAATCATTATTCATAATATTCTCTTCTCGTACATAGTTTTTTTTTTTTCTATCTAGCAAAAATATATAAATTATTTTTCTCTCTTCTTCCGATGGTTCGCAAAAGGGCTCCAAGATTTGTTAGAAAACGCTATCCGAGTATTCGGACGAGCGAGTAAAATTGTGACGTCTCAAATTGAGTGAGATCACTCAAATGTTCGAAATAGTATGTGAAAAGTTGAGTTTTTTTTTCTCAAAACCGATCTTGGACACCCGAATCTTGGAAGCCCTACTTCGCATACTTGTCATGTCTACAACCTTCGTCAATATATATATATATAATATAAATTATTACATTTCTATGTACTGCGGCGCAATATATAACATCGATATTTTATATAAATTCAACTTGTCGTTTCCCTACTGAAAAAATATCTCCGTTCCTTGAGAATATACTATATATTATGTACATTCAATCCTTTTTCAATTAACAACAAAAAAAAACAGATTTGAAGATGCAAACCAATGTTCGATAATATTGGTTTCCATGCGATAATGTACATGTATACATGTACATACATATATATATATATATATATGTATATATACATATGTATATGTATACACACATCTGTTCGGTTTTATAATTTAGTATAAATACATCTTGTTTAATCTCCATACACATAGACACTCATGAAAATGTGCGATGCACTGAACGATATGAGCAAATAGAAAGATCTTTGTTGTGTTGCTTTGTAATGCTTTGATATTTCTTTTCATTTACACATGTAGTATAACGTATTAGCTGAATTTTTCTTCATATAAAACAACGTGAGATTGAAAAATAGTTTTGAATTACATAGAGGTGTACTTGCTCGCAAAATGCACAGTTTCTGAAAAATGAATGTCGTTCAATCCTTCAAAACTATGCGTTAAATTACGCATGAATATCTACTAATTAAGTCTACGTAAATTATGTAAACTGTGTGCCACCAAGCAGAATGTTCGCAATTTTTCTGATTTTCTTCAAAATAAAGAAGATCGTATTTTCAAACTTTGTAATTACGCCATTGACATAAAAAAAAACGTTAATGAATAATCGTAACGTTGTTACAATTATTCTAACAGAATTGTTTTTTTTTACAATTAACACCGATTAATTGCTATGTTGCTTGTAGATTTAAAATCTATGTGTGTGTGAGATACTGACCAGCAAAGCAATTTCATTTTTCTTACAGAGTTTACATAGTTTAAAATTTCTACATGGGGGGAGGGGGGAAATCATGTGACTATAATGACTTTGTATACTATGTATACAAAGCTATATATGTAGACTTAATTAAATTCTTAGTCGATGCTTACACGTACTCTAAAAAATAAATTACGAACTAATTGAATTAGTTGCAAACTAAATGTAGTGACATTACTTGTATTTTTCTGCGTTACTTGGAGAAAGTGTTTGATGAAAAAGAATAATTAGACCGTGTGTTGATTAAAAACGCGAATAGGATACGTATTGGTTTTTAATCGTCAGCAAGATTAAGTGTGTGATCTTGTGAAGCGAGGAATTAGTTTTTTTTTGTAAATAGGATTTAGAAAAATCCCTCATTAAAAAAAAAAGAAAAAAAAACTATTCCTCACTTTGTCAAATTTGACACAGCCTTATTTTTATTACGCGCTATCAAGAGAACCAGATAACCAGATTGAAAAAAGCATTTCTACGCATGGTTCCATTACACAGTACATTTCCGTTTCCTATACATAGATTTGTTCAACAAATCTATTAAGAGAACATTAGCAATATCTAAAAAAAAAACACAATAATGAGATAATGATTTGTTCGAATAATATAAATTTTCACAATCTAGCTCATATATAAAACGTTTTTTTATCATTCAACAACAAATTATTCACTATTTAACAGATCATCGAGAGAGTATAATCGTTTTTACAAAACTGTTTTCCTCTTCAGCAAAATTGATAATTCTGTTCTTTGTAACATTTCACAGAACACATTACATGACAAATGTATGATTATGCACACGATTCTCATACATATAATTGAAATCAAGAAGAAATATGGCAATACGTCATTCTTATTAAATCTACGTGACACAGATGTATCTAATTAAACGGTTTTGTTGACTTTGACTTAGTTACTTTACGGAATAAGTACAAATATTAAAGAAACACTCAGAGTGTAAAAATCCGACATCTTCTATATAAGGCTTTGATGTAGAACCTCATGAGATAAAGCACGAGAGCGTTATAGTGTAGTAGTTGATTGCGATGCACATTCGAATTGGAAACTAGTCTTTTGTTCTCGATCACAGCCACTGAACAAGCAACAGAAATACATGTAATGTTGTTTTCGCATATATATTCTTCTGCATAATTCTTCAACAAATTACTTTTTCACGTTTTACGGACGCCAGATAATGAGTGACTTTGCTCGATTCTAGTATATTCACATCGGTGCAAAAGAACAGTGCCTGACTGTATATCGGCTGCATCGCGTGTTAGACGGAAGTTATTAGTTAGAGAAATATCTGCGTGCGGAACCATATTAAACTGCGATGTAAAGTAGTGCCTGCACAACCGAGTTGCTTAATGTTTTGCGTGGGAGACACACTAGTCTGATATTCTATATCCTATTGTTATTTTACACACACACAGGACATAGAATATTAACTGACAAAAATAGAGTAAACAGTACTGACAGCAATGCCACTTAAATATATATATATATATATGTACAAATTGTGAGATGTATTAATTTATTTACAGAACTAAGATAATTTACCGATTAAACATTTGCCCTACTTTTTCTTATGTAAAAAATTTATTTAAACTTAAAAAAAAAAAAAAAAAATCGAACGTGACAAGAGAAATATCCATGCGATAAATTTGTTGCGATTTTTTCTAGCGTCATACGCGAATACAAAAATACAATGCTGTTTATGCAAAAACTCATAATGTTGACCTTCAACAAGAGCCAACGGAGCTCATTCAAGGCAGTCTCCTACGATATTTCCTGTGTCCTTCTGTGACCATATAATTCTGCACTGATGCTATTCTCTATGAGATCGTACTGTTTGCCCTATTACAGACCACTGTATTTCGCAACTGAAGTTTCACTTTGTGTCTCGTCGATATATATGTATATATATATTTTTTTCTATTTATATTTATCAGTGATGTTTTTTGTTTTGTGTGTGTTTTTTTTTTTTTTTACTATCAACATCTCCTAAATCTACACTGATATTCTTATCTTCAATTAACAACTTACACATGCTTCCTCATCTCAATAATAATTCATTTGTGTTAAAATATCTTGTCAAATTTGTATCAGAAGGTAAAGCTGAGCTTTACATATATATCATACTTTCTAATATCACCGTGGTAAGAAATTAACCTATAGTTAAAATAAAAGAGCTTTCTATGTTTTTTTTTGTTTTTTTTTGTTTTATGTACACGTACACATTATGTACAATGTTGATGCACGTCTAAGCGATGTGTCACACACAACAGTCAGATTTATCAGCGAGACCTGTTTACTTTTTTATTATTCATATGTTCGTTGTACTGAATCAGATTAATTTCTTACCTGAAATCTTAAACTCTATCTGTTGAGTACGGTTACCACTGTTATAAGGAACTCAGTAAAAACAATTGAGATTATTACATTTCCATGACAAAAAACAAAATCATAAATAAACTTATTAAACGATATTTTTTCGGAGCAAGATTCTCTCGTTAAAAATAAAAAATTTAATAACACTAAAAAATATTTATACTAATCAGAATTTTAATCAAATATAAAGACTATTTAAAAAAAAAAAAAAAACTGATTCATTAATTTATACCGTTGTTGGTTTTTCATTTTAAATAAATATGAACACCTAGAGCAGTTGTTTTTCTTTTTCAACGATCAAAACGCTATTCATTGTAATATCGAATTATTGTACTGTGCATTCCTGTTCATATCCACGGTATTTACAAAAATATGCGTATATAAGTACTAGGAAGTACCTATATCATCTCCTAGCGGCACTTTAGCTTCTCTGTACTTCTTTACGTGTCGATTGCACACTTGACTATTAGAGATTTAATTTGATGAATTTTATTAATTGCACTGCTTTACGTCCAACACCCGATTACTTAATCGGGTTTGTAGATTGGAATTTTTGGAATAAATTCTATTAAAAGAACCTGTAATGTGAAAAATAACTTATCAAGATCCGTAAAAATTACGGTTACATACACTAGTTTCTCTGATATTTTCATAAGTTTTTTTTCTTACATATTCCATCATAGATGAGCTATCGCATCTTTGTTTTGCCAATCTCCAATGCAATCCCAGTTTATGGTAGAGCCTACTGTTTTCCCATTCCAACAGTTTGTTTAACGAGTGCTGAGTCTGAGATAGAAAGACAACGCATCATTATCATTTTTTTCCATATTCTCTTGTTTTTGCACACATTTGTACACGTATTTGTAAAGTGTACATATATGTATGTACTTAAACACTATACCATACTTAAACTCACAAACTTTGTTTGACTAAGTAGTTATTACCCTTACTTACCCTTTTGCTCAAACAAATGACAGGCCACAATGAACATCCTAGAGTACAGCAGCAACATACACAACCGCAAAATAACCACTTAACATTAACAGGTAAAGTTTTTTTTAACACACTGTTTATTCTCATAACAGTTGCCTTAAACTCTTCTGGAGCCACACGAGACATGAGGCCATTAGGAAACTCCGATTCGAAGCGATTACTGAGACCAAACCTAAAAAAAGAGTAAAAATTGTCTAGATTAATGATAACAAATCCTTTATCACACATATATTTATATTTAGATAGTAATAAAACAAAGACTACATATTCGCAATAAGAAAAAATCAATTAATTACTTTTATTTTTTGTTTCCAGCTTTTTAAGTGAATCCAAGTTAATATAACCTTGTATAAAAGTTTCAAAAAAAAAGCTAACTCTCTGAGTTATCAGAAACATAATTTCTACTAACATATTATTTTAGATTAAAAACGTTTATTCAGCGTCAGAGCGTTCTGCTGAATAAACAATATGCAAGAATATCATCAGAATTAAATGTCTTCTATCAGACAGTCTCATAAATATTTATAATGTTATTAAAATGTAAGTGTATACACCACCACACTTCGTTTTTCTTTTTCTTATTCAGGCGGTTCTAATCTCATAGTCACGCATATACGACCGTAATGTCATATATTTCGCACATTTGTTAACATGTAACTCCGCTTCCCGAATAGGGAAGAGAAATATGTATGCGCGCAATGGTATAAAATGTTCAAAACTACTCATGTACTACATGTCACTACTGTCAAATATCTACTTGTCAATTATCTGTTTAAAGAGAACTCGTCAAACAACTTGGAACAGGAAAATATTCCGCGATTTAATACGTGACGAGAAATTAAAATGACCAAAGAGAGGTGTAGTCTTTGTCTAGGCACTGTGGGAATATCCGAACACAACAAAGAAAGTTTGCGCGCGCGCAAACGGTCATCATCTGTTCTCCACATGTGTCGCTCTCTTATGTTGTTTTGCTGATGATGCGTATATATAAAACTTACACTGTCATATTGCCAGCTCCGCGGATGACGATCGGGTCCGGCACCATCGCGACGTAATGCTCTTCCAGATTCTGCTCGTTCTCCTCCTCTTCCTCGTAGATCGCGTCGAAATCCGCCATCGCGATGCGAAATCCAACGCGGTTTCTTCTCGCAGAAGGAAACGTGCTCGCGACGGACGTTTGTTATTTTCTGTGCGTACGTGTGTGTGTGTGTCTGCGTTGATGACACAACAGCGTGCGTGCGTGCGTGCGTGTGTACGCACCTCGTTCTGTCGCAAAACTGGCCAGGTCGACGACGCGCGACGCGACGCGACGCTCTCGCGTGCGCGCTTCTCGCTCACATCCCCGCCGCGACGAGCTTCCGGCACGTCGTCACGCTCGCCCCGTTGCGATTAACACAGGCGTCGCTCATCTTTTCACTTGGGCACTTTAGGCGCTATAGGCCAGCTGATGTAGGCCCCGCACGATCGACCAACTGCGCGACGCAAACGCTGTCGCGCGATTTATTATCCGTTCGTCACAACGAATCGTCTCGCTCGCTTCTGTGTCCCCGCGCAAAACGTTGCACACGTTCGCGCGACGCGTAACCACCGCGGACTACGTTGTGCTGCCTCACGCAGCTCATCAATTTTTTCCTCGCTTCGATTACAGGTCTGCCAACAGCGCGGAACGCGATGACACAATGGACGCGTGAATCGGAGCGCGTGTGTGTCAGCACTGCTCCTGGTTTTGAATGGCGTCAATGGCGCAACCGGAGCACTGACGAAAGCGTATCTCGCTCTCTCAGGTGTTGGTTTTTTTTTCTTTTTATTTATTTATTATTGATTGCGCTTTCCGCGCCGTCAACGAAGAATAAACACGTCACTCTTTTTGGTTTTGCTTCTCTTCTTGCTAGATCTCTAATTGCGTCACGTGAGATTGATTCATTGACGCTGTTTGAATTTAAAAAAAAAAAAAGTGTGAGATATGAAATATATACTATATATATATACATACACAAGTGTTGTTATATTCTGTTATATATTTCTCTTCTAATCGACTGCTCTTGACATTCTCCTTCTGCTTTTCTAAATACTTGTTTGTTTTTGTTTTTTTTTTTTTTTTAGAAAGTACTTTCTCTAATGAATATGCGCGACATATTTTCTGGTTTATTTCCATTTCACTTTTCTTGTAGAAATATCAAAAAAAAAAAAAACACTTGGCCAGCACAGCTGATCATGTTTCAACTCCTCCGACTAATCGGTCGTCAAAACGCGATCCGAGTCACGATGAGTAACTCTCTTTGCTCGCGGTGTGTCTAAAAAAAAAAAAAACATGAATAAAGTTACGCTGATATAACATTGCACAAGTTTTCTAAGTCAGTTCACGGTAATTACGCTTTCTGTTTGTAAATATCAGCGCAGAGCGCGCTGTTATGTTAGGCTCGCGAATTAGAAAATAATTCGGCAAAAAACTCATTTAGTTTTAATGCAATCTATAAGTTTTAGCCGCCGCTGTGAAAGAAAGCGAACGAGTATTGCGTAACGGAGAGAAGGTTCGCGCGCGATCGGGAGAAACTCACGCGCGCACAACGCACTAATCGCGAACGGCGATTAATTTAAGCGTGGCGCGAGATGAGAAACGATCGGTCGTTGAATGAAATGATAAGACAGAACGATGATTCATAACGCGCAGACGGTTTGGCGCGCGCGCAAAAATGCTCCCGAGTCATTACGAGAGAGACTTTTAAGCGCATTTCAATCAGAGTGCAACGGCCGCTCAAGTGGAAACCGCGGAACTTGATCAGCGGCGCAACCAAAACGATTGCTAATCAATTCGACGCGACGATTGAAATTAACAAAAACAAAACAAAAAAAAAAGGAAAAAGAAAAAACGCCGACGCCTTTTCTGCTGGCGATGCGTTAAGACTCGCGCATTTCGCAAAGCTGATAATCTCGGCGAATTCGCCAATCGAATGTAATATGTTTATTATAAAAGTAAAAAAAAAAAAAAAAATGCGTGCGGAGCAAAACTTCACGCTTGCGACAATACTGCGACGGCAATCGATTATTTTTACGACCCGTAGGAAAAGAATTGAAACGGCATTAGAGTTGTTGTTTTTTTTTTTTCGCGCAGATACAACACAGTTTCTCTCCGAGAATTGCATCTCGGACCGAATTATAAATGCGGCCGAATCGAACAAATGTTCGTTAGTTCGCTCGCCATGGATTCGCGGAGCGCAAGGATTTCCGTGTTACTTCTGATCGTTGTTTTGACTACAAGTTGCAAAAATGTTCGTTCTCAACGTTTTAACAGCAAAGACATTGTTATCGACATTAATGAAGGTGACATTACGATCGATGATCAGTTCTCTCACATCGAATAGCGAGCGCACGTATATCGCGGACGGATTTCCGATAAAGCCGTGAAAAAAAGTTCGAGGATGACATTTTCGCCTTGTCCGTATCTATTTTTTTTCACCGAAGAATCGATGTAACGTAAAAATAGTCCTCCGAAAAATTATCAAACGAAAAACTATCAACTCGGATGTTTGACGCAATCATTTCGTTGACAAAAAAATATCTCTTGCATCTCACACGCGTGTGTGTGTTTCGCAAAATTTTCATTCAATCGGTTATTGCACGCAGATATTTTTGTTTTTCTACACAATAAATAATAATTGTTGTTTTACTCTGCAAATATTTTTTTTTTTTCCACCGTTGCCGAAAAGCCAGGCATATGGAGAGGATAGCTGGCGGAGGTTACGCGAACGAAGGTCAATTTCCGTTCATGGCTGTCGTGCATCGATTGATTGATGGCAGAAGGGTTTCTCAATGCGGCGGCACCGTCATTTCGGAGAGATGGGTGTTGACCGCGGGACATTGCATCGCTAGGTTTCCGCGACGGTTCTTTGTGATATTCGGCATTGTCGACAAGTCCGGGATCGGTTACAGTGTCAACAAAGGACCCGGCGTCGCGATGATGACCACGCGCGCTTTCGTTCATCCCAATTACTTCTCCAGCAAGAACGACATCGGATTGTTGCGCATGCCGCGAGACATTCCCTTCTCAGGTAAGAAAAAACAAATTAGCCCATCGCGAACGATGCGACGGAATTCCAAAAAAAAAAAATAGGCGCAATGTGTTGTTCTCTGTGTTTTAGTAATGTTCCATTTTAGAAAAAATCCAACCGATAGATCTGGCCGGTCCGAAGGAGGGCAAAGTCTTGGCCGACACGATGGCTTACGTGGTCGGATGGGGTCGTGACGGATTCAGTCCGACGGGAACGAAAAAATTGAAGTACGCCCTGATGCCGTTAATTTCGAAACGTAAATGCGTCAGATACTGGAGGGTGGATTATAGAAATATATGCACGCAACCGGGACTTGGCAAAAACGCCTGTCAGGTAATATTTCATATTTCATTGTATGATATGAAAAAAAAAAAAAAAAAACAGGAAAGAGAGATATAGAAATAGAATATAAATATATAGAATTTATAATTAATAATAATAGAATATAATTGTTATATATAAATTCATCTTTATATATATGAAGATTTTTTCTACTTGTCAATGTAACGTTATTTTTTATTTAAATAATTTATTTTAATTCAGGGTGACAGCGGAGGTCCTCTTTTCGTAATGAGAGACAATCGGCCGCTGCAAATTGGCATCGTGAGTTACGGGGACGCGAACTGTCCGAGCGGCAGACCCGGTGTGTACACCAGAGTAGCCGCGTTTACGGGATTTATTCGACTGGTTACTGGAATCGAATTTTCTTAGAGACGCGGTTTTGCGTTTCCAATCTGTTTGGAATTGAACCAATCGCATTGACGACCAATTCAGTTTCGGAAATGGTAAAACCGAATTCGCACAACATTATTGTGTATTTTTAATCTTTTTTCTCTCGTACTCACTTCTTTATCCATCGAGTTGTATTCTTTATCCATCGAGTTGTATTCTTTATCCATCGAGTTGTATTATCCGTTAAGTTAACTCACTCGGCAATCGAGATTCCTTTCTTTCCGAGCAACGTTCCTCGACAATTTCTATATTATCGACACGCGCAAGATACACACATCGACAGTGTCACGCGCAAGATACACACATCGACAGTGTCACGCGCAAGATACACACGGGGTTACGTCTTCATCCAATTTTTTTGTGTAGAAAATACATCAGGTAAAAAATTTGCGGATTCATTGAATCGAACGATAATTTTTAACATATTTCAACACATTTTTTTATATAAATTGAACTTTGCAATTAGCTCTTGTAATCTCGACACACGATGGCGCTATTGGTTCAATAGGATAGAAACGCGGCAAGTCGATGTAATATTAAGTGACAAAAGGTCAGTATTATTTTTTTTATTGATAATTAATGCGATATTGTGCATATCAAACGTTGTACACGATACATGCAATAGAATAAATTTACTTGCATGCGCGCGCGCTAATTTTACACGATGTAATAAACAATATATATCTATTACGTAAAGAAATAACATATATTTATATAAGTAACGAAGCGAAATGATACGTCGTCGTTTTTGCATACGACCCGCATTCGTCATGTCATTCGGCATGTGTCATGCTTCTTTCTCGTAACTGTGCTCTCCTCGGAGACGTGTACATAGTAATCACCCGACATCGGCCGGTACAGTTAAAATGTGATTAAAGCGGTTACGGATGAGAGAGCTGGCGCGATTGCGGCGTCGATAAAAATCACGGCGAAACACAGAGGCGAGGAAAGGCGATGAGATACGATTTATAATTGTCCGGGGGTAAATGCAGAACGAAGTTGCAACCTGTCCGTCGTACAGCCATTACCGCAAACCCATATTATAGCGGATATACGCCGGAGCTTCTTCTTTAACCGGCCGACCTGCCCGCCCGCTTCGGTGACGATCCGGCGAGATCGCAGCTTCCTGAATGTGTGCGATTCGCGACGCGCGAAAAAAAGAAGAGATCGCGAAATTTTTCAACAAAAACCCTCGCGTAACTGATACGGTAATGCACTGTTGATACGCCGATAAAATTCGGGAACTTTTTCTCTCCGCGCTTGAAACTGAGATACCGCAAACCGAGTAAACGAAAGGAGATTAAAAAGACTGGCGATAGTTTTTAGCGTGTTTTTTTTTTATTATAAAAATTTCAAGCTATATCTGTTAATAATCATTGCTGAAAACATTCCTTAATCTCAGTTTTAATTATTATATTCCTTAACTTATTGTTTTTTGTTTTGTTTTTCAAAACGACACGTGCTGGATGGTTACACGTTTCGCACAGATATAAGTTTGTGTTATAACGCACTATTTATTAGCAACTTGAGCAAATTATAATTAGAACTTCAGCCTGTGTTTATCATTGTGTCTTGAATTCTCTTATTCGACGTGTAATTTACGTGATAATTTCCCGTGCTATATAGTGTAATTATTTAGCACGAAAGGGTGGGTCTTCTTTCTTGCAAACACAAAGGGGTTTCGTTGCTTTGTGCTTGCAAAGAGGAATTGTTCCAGCCGAACGCTAGAGGTTAATTCTGCTGATATAATAAGCGCGCTTTTATGCAGAGGCAGACATGCCATTTTTATACATTTTTACACGCCAATTTTACGGTCTGCTGAAGCGGTTGTTGTATGAGCGACGATTGCGCGGGCTCTCATTCTTCAACTCGTCTTTCACGGGTTCGCGCAAAAATTGGAGATCCGTGAGAGTTCTCTCGTCGTAAGTTTTGTTCATTTCAAATCTTGGTCTTCGCTTCTAACCTTGGTCAAGCGGAGTCACAATCAAAATAAATAAACAATTCGCGTGTATTTGTATTAATTAACCTGGCTTAATGAAGTTTTTGAACTGTTATGTGAAATTGTGATTATATTTAAAGAAAACCGTAGAACAATTGCGCAGAAACACGTGGTGTGTGTGTGTGTGTGTGTGTATTACACGGCAAAAACGTGTCTGAGCTAATAGTACCCATTATAATATCTGAATGTGTGTTATACATAAACATGTTCTCCAGGCAGCGAAAGCAGTCTGTCACGATTTAACATCGCTCATTAACCCCGCTAATAATAACTCCCTCCCCTCCTCCCTCATCATCATCAGGAAATCGATTTCGTCTTAATCTTAACGCTTGTCTCTTCCGGAATACGGTACACGTATTTTTTACGTTCCCCAACAAATTATGTTTTCCGGAGAATAATTAAATTTCTACGTAATCTAAAACGACAATTACATTTGTGTATTTGTTGGGAATCTGAGAATTGACGTTTTAGCTTTTTAATCGACGAAAAAATTTCAGAAACATCGTGACATCTCGAATATAAAAAACAATTTCATGACGCGCTTCCGTGTATCGAGAGACGTTTTTCCGCGACTTTTGCGAGAAGATAATTGTGAGAAAAACATTTCGGAGATCCTGAAAAAAAATCGCAATCTAAACATCAAAAATACACTCCTCGACTTATCTCTCGAGTAAAATAACATTTTATTTCGGTCTTCTTCCCTGGGCCATTTCTGTTCCGAGTCTTCAAACATCGACCGTATTGTCGACCCGTTTTGCGCTCGACGGTCGATCCAAGCCTGTCGTGTGGATAAACACACAAGAACATTTTGCGGAGTACACGACGAGAGAGAAGAGAGAGTCTTCCTTTTCCTCTCTCTCTCTCTCTCTCCGCGCGCCGCATGTAAAGAGGGAGTTAAAAAGACGGCGATTAGTCAAGCGAAATCGTCCATCGCGTCTGAACATACGAAGAACACATGCGGACCCGAGTTACGCGGCGGCACCTCTCGAAATAGAGAAAGAGAGAGAGAGAGAGAGAGAGAGAGAGAAAGATAGAAAAAGATAAAAAGAAGAAAAGAGCAGACGAGGCGGCAGGGGAAGTCTCGACAAGACCGAGAGCACCGACTCGACATTCTTTTCGGCTAACCGCCTACTTAATTAAAACAACATTAAGCCTGCCCGAGCTTGCGCCGAGAAACGACACTGTCCATGGACCGTGGAACAGACAGACGAAACGAGAAAGAGAGTTTCGCGGCGAGAAACGGGGCACGAACGGGGAAGGAAGAGCCGCGCGCTGCTGCGAAGAAGCGACTTTTAAATCTCGGCTGCAACTCTGCCGCATCTCTGCCGCTGCATCGGCTCGTAAAGTGCCGCTGCTTATTAAATTAGCCACGTCCAATCGATTCGCAGATTTTGCCGAATCGCAATTTCTAAGATTCGTTAAAGACGGACGGACACGTTCTTCGAAGAACTCGTCGTCGATGAGTTTCTCTTAATTAGGACGTTAAAAACGTCCTGAGAATGAGAGATGTCGTTGTGTATTTTTTTTTCTTTTTTTTTTTTGTTTTTTCGACATGCCGCGTATCGTTGAATTTGCGCGCGAGGAGAGTCAGAGACGTGGCTTATTATTTCATAATTACACGCATCTCTCGTCGGTTGATTATTATGCGGTATGAACCGTGTCACATTCGTTATTGGAATTTGGCAACGTTCTGGCCCATGTGTCACACGTCGCGTCGGGTTAGCAAGTGTCTATTAACAAACCGCTGATTACTTAACGCGCGGGGACATCACCATTTTCGCGATACGTGCGAAATGCGCAGAAAAAAAAGTGAAACAAGTTTGTTAGATCGGCTTGTCTAAGCGCGTCGAGATTTATTTACCGACGCTGCGTGCAATTTATTTGTCATCCGGCGCTCGTTCAATGATTCATTAAATCGCTATTAAATCAAATAATTACATAAAGCTCATTTTTGTACGTGTAAGTAAACTCGAGTGAAATTTTTCACAAATGAATTTTTGCCAACCGTGATCCAATTTTGTAATATCATTTCTCGTTTGTTTCTTTTTTCTTTTTATTCGATCGCGAGCGGTTAAACTCGCGTTCCACATTTCACGCGCTATAGCGTTCGGGTAATAACGCTTTTGATTTCCCGTTCGAGTTGTCACACGCGGATATATAGCATTTCCGCGAAATCGAGCCGGTCACACCGCGGCCGTTTATCGCGTGCGTTACCGCAGAGAGTTGAACCGGTAATGGACTAACAACTCGGTTCGCGCGAGCGCGCGCGCGCTAGAAATAGCGAGCGCGCACGAGGCTAGCCAATTAAACGCGATGGCGAGAGGGTTCTCTTCATGGCCGTGACACTTAGCGGCCTTAAGTAGCGAGATTTAGAGGCGGCAGGTGCTTCACTCTCCGTTACCGGGGCGGAGGGGGAGGGAGAGGGAGAGGCTTATCCCTCGTTCTCTTCCTCCTTCTCCCTCGCTCGCTAGTATCATCCTGTTTCCATTGCCGGGCGCCCCGAGGAAAAACACGTGAATATGCTCGCCGCCGCTTTGTCAAAGCACCGGCATTCTCGCGAATTAATAATGAGCGTTTGACGCCGCGCCAAGCCAAGCTTTCACGTTGCCGCAGAGAAAGAGAGAGAGAGAGCGCGCGCAGGAGAGGCACCTCTTTGACGGCCGAAGCCGAGGATGAGGAACCTCGAAGAGGAATCCTCTCGCAGCCACGCGAGACGCCTCGCGAGATGCGAATGGAAAGCAACACGCGCGAACGAACACGCCAGCGGTTTCCCCTTCTTTCACCGATCTCGCTTTTATCACCGCGCAGAAATCCGCACCCTCGACAAGCGGACGCGGAAAATTAAAGTCCGGAAACAATATTTTTGATATAAAAGAAAGCAAACGCAGAGTTTCTCGAAGCCTTAAAATCTTGTGGATTCTAGGTCACAAAAATCTTACGAGATAAACTCATTGACGGTGCTTCTCAGATGAGAAGTGCA